GCCGAGCCCCCGCGCCCGCCCGGTAGCAGAGCCCTAGCTCCAGCCCGCGGAGGTGGGCGATCGCGCCTGCCCGGCGCCCCGCCCAGCGCTCGGGTCTCTGGCTGCGGGTCCCCGGAGTCGCCTCGTGGGCGGGAAAGAGCGGGGAGGCGCGGGGGCGAGGCTGCTAGCCCTCCACCCCCGAAAGGGGAAGGGGCCACCCGGGTACGGCGAAACGCCGGCGAGGGGCGTTAAATGCCCGGGCTAGGTTTGATGGGGAGGAAGGTCCAAGCGCTGCCGCAGCTTTTGGTCCCCTCTTCCCCCTGCAGTGGGGCCCCCTGCGTCCCCGCGGCCCCACCCTTCCCTGGTTTCCCTCGCGGAGGCTGCTAGAATATGAATGAGCCAGACTACACTATTTCATTGACTCGGCTGCGGCGGGATCCGAGGAGCCGTCGGCGTTCCCAGGAACTCACCTGAGAGCGTTAGGGAGTAAGAACTTCACTGTCAGGTGCTAGCGAAGTGCCAGCAGGGTCTGAAAAGGGCTGCTTACTTTTCCAGGTTTAACACAACTCCTATCATCTCCTAGGTAACTTCATTGGCCCTAAGAAGTTTCCAGTACATACAGTCACATCTCTACTTAAACACAGGCTGTTAGGGAAAAAAAAAACAAAACGAAAAACCAGTTTGATCGGTAAGTTAACCCATCCTTTTCATTTCTAACGTACTAGAATGTACTAGTTGGCAAAAATGTTAAAATTAAATTTGAATAAAGAGTGTTTAAAATCTGTCAAGGTTTTTAATGATTAAACTCAGAATTATGTTTATTTTCCAAGAACAACTTTGTTTTGCTGTACAAGAAAACCTTGAACAATGTGAGGGTTAGGGGTGCCGACCCCTCCCCTCAGTGGAAAATCCCGAAATAACTTTTGACTCCTCCAATACTTAATAACCTGCTGATGTCTGGAAGCCTTTACAAATAACATAACCAGACCATTAACATATTTTGTATATTATAGACTGTATTCTGATGATACAGTACGCTAAAAAATCGTAAGAGAAAATGCACTTGAAGCACTGCACTGTATTTTCCAGTATATTTATTGAAAACATTTGTGCACAATCCAAAGCCTGTTCTCAGGGTTACTGCTATGCTTTAAGCCTGTGGAATAGCACCTGAGAATCATTAGAGGTTACCTATGTTAAAATCTGATTGCAGGGACCACCCAGTAGTGAGGAGGTTAAGACAGCTGGATCTCAAATGGGTGACAAGATCATTGGAGTCCCAGTCTGGGAGCTTGAAAAACATGTCTGGCATGTGCTGTGCATACCCAAAATCCTGAGAGAATAGAGAAGGGATTGCAGCATGGCCATGCCCCTAGGAGGTGATTTTTTTATTTTCCTTCTCTCTCTGTCACTCTTTTATGCTCTCTTTCTAGTGAGTGCATGTGCCCTATGGCAAAGCATAAAAAAAAAAAATCTAATTTTACTTAAACAAATTTGTAACTACCATATAGTAAAGTTGACCCTTTTCCAGGTGTACAGTTCTATGAATTTTTAGGTTCATGTAACTACTACAACAATCAGGATATAGAACAGCTCTGTTATCCCCAGAAGAATCATCCTACCCCTTTGTATCCTATACCTAGCCCTAACCCCTGGCCATTACTGATGTTTCCCAGACTGTCATGTAAATAGGATCCGAACAGTACCTAGTCTTTTACTTTTGGCTTCTTTCACGCAGAACAACACCTCTGAAATTCCTCCAAGTTGTTTCTTGTATAGATAAGTTTTTTAAACTGCTGAATAATATTTCATTAGATAGATATAGATATGCCACAGTGTGTTTAAATATCCACTACTCATGGAAGAACTTTTGGGTAGTTTTCACTTTAAGGCAGTTATGAATAGAGTTGTTATAAATATCATGTAAAGGTTTTTGTATGAACTTAAGTTTTAATTTCTCTAGGGTATTGCTAAGAGTGGGATTGTAGGGTCATGTGATAAATGTATATTTAACTTTTTAAAAAGATTGTCTAACTATTCTCCAGAGGGGCTGTATCATTTTACATTCCTACCAGCAACATGTGAAAGTTCCATTTGCTCCACAACATGTGCTGTTGTTGGAATTTTGTAATATATCCATTCTGGTAAGTGTGTAGCGGTGTCTCAATATGCTTTTAAAGTCCTTTATCTCCTGACCAGAGATGTTGAAGATCTTTTCATGTGTTCCTTTGCCATATATATGGGGACTTCAAAACATTCTTGGAAAAATGGAATTAAAGAACAAGTTTCTTTTGGCGAAAACAAGTTTTGAAGTATCTATATATATATATATATATTTCATAATACACATTTTCCATGAACTATTTGTTATTCCTCCCTCATATACTATGGTGAGTTACCTGGACAAGTTTTTGCCTATTTTTATTTTGACTGGGCTTTTTTCTTAGATTGAGTTTTGAGAATCTTTTGTATTTCTTGGGTACAAGACATGTGGCAGATGCATGTTTTAAAAATATTTTCTCCTGGGCCAGCAGGTAGCGTGGTGGTTAAGGGCGTTGGACTTGTACTTGGCTGACCACAGTTTGAATCCCAGACCTGGTGACTTACTTTCTCACTTTCCTCCTCTCTCTGTCCCTCTCTGGTTAAAACAAAATAAATAAATAAAGTTAAATTTAAAAAAATAATAATAAGTTAAAAAAAATTTTCTCCTAATTTCGAGCTTTTTCTCCTCTTAACTGTCTTTGAGGGACCAGCAGGTGATGTGGTGATTAAGGTACTGGACTAACTGTGGTTCAAGTCCCAAACCTGACAGCTTGCTTTCTCACTTTCTCCCTCTCTTTCTTTCTCTGTCTCTCTCTGATGAGTGTCCATGCCCTATAGCTAGTTTAAAATAATAATGATAAATAAAATGAAATAATTCTTAAAAAAAAAAAAGTGTCTGAGAGGGCAGATATTTTTAATTTTGGCGAAATCCAGTTTATCCATTTTCCTTTCATGTTTTTTTTTAGTAGTAGGTCTAAGTACTCCTTACCTAATTCCAGGTTAAATTATTTTTCTTTCTAAAGTTTTCTTTAAAGAAATACAGTTTTACACTTATATTTGTGATCCATTTTGAGTTAACTGTGTAAGATAAGTTCAGGTGAAGGTTGATTTTTTTTTTTTTTTTGGGACATGGATTTGTGGCTGTTCCAATACCATTTTTGAACAGACTATACTTTCTCCATTGCATTGCTTTTGCACCTTTGTTAGAAGTCAGTTAGCCAGGGGCCAGCAGGTGGTGTGGTGGTTAAGGTGCTGGATTCCCACATGGCTGACTGGTTCGAGTCCTGGACCTGACAGCTTGCTTTCTCACTTTCCCTCTCTCCCTCTCTCCCCCCCCCCTCTTTCTCTCTCTCTCTGGAGTACACATGTGCCCTATAGCAAGCAAATAAATAAATAAATAAATAAATAAATCAGTATTCCATGTTTTTGTGAGTTTCTTGGGCATTGATATATGTCTTTCACTTTGTCCATATCACACTTTCTTGATTAATTTAGCCTTACAGTGTCTTAAGATTGTGTGGTAGGATTTCCTACACTTTTATTGTTACAAAGTAGTGTTTTATTTCCTTTGTCTTTTTTTCTTTCTTTTTTTTTTTAAGAGAGATTTTTGCTACAGGGCACGCACATGCACTCGCCAGATAGAGACAGAAAGTGAGAAATTATTCTCCAGGGGAGACGGCCACGCTATAAACCCTTCTTCATTCTCCTTTCAGGATTTTAGGCACACATGCAAACATACCCAGCTTGATTTTTAAGCCACTGGGTCCAGGTCTCAAACCGTGTTTTACTACATGGTAGTCCATCAACATAACCATTACGCCATCCACTGGTCCCTCCTTTGCCTTTTTATGTAGTTTATTATAAAGTTGTCTATCTTCTTGCTGATATTTTAGAATTCCGTTAAACTTACAAATCTATTGGGGGAAAATTGCTATTTTTACTTTGTTGCCTCTTGCAATTCATGAACATGATATCTTTCCACTTATTTAGGTCTTTGGTTTGTTTCATTAGCATTTTGTCATTTTCAGCATTCAGACTCAGTATATATTTTGCTACATTTTTACCTAAGCATATAAGTTTTGGGGAGGTATAGTTAATCTCATTTAACATTTTTTTTACCAAATTATACAGTGTTAATGTATAGAAATATAGTTGAATTCCGTGTGTTGCTCTTTTTTTATGTGACCTTGGTAAATTCACTTAGTATCAATAGTTCTAAAGTTTTTATGTTTTTGTTCAGATACTATCATGTCATCTGTGAACAGAGATAGTTTTTTGTTTTGTTTTGTTTTGTTTTTGCATAATCTTAAATGTTTTATTTAGTTGGTTGCCAGTTGCATGCACTGGCTAGGACTTTGTGCCTGATGAATAGTAGTGAAAGTGAATATTGTTACCTTGTTCCCAGTCTGAAGGGAAAGCAATTAGTCTCAGAATTAAGTATGATGTTAACTGTAAGTTTTCTTATAGTTCTCCTTTTCCAGGTTCAGGAATTCCCCTTTACTAGTTTGTTGAGTTTTCTGACCAATAAATGTCAACTTTTGTCAAATATTTCTACTGCTTCAATTAATATTGTAATGTGGTTTTTATTCTTGAGTTTATTAATATGTGGATTAAATTGATTGCTTTTGAATATTGAACTAGCCTTGCATTTCCAGAATAAAGTTCATTTGGTTGCAGCATATTACTCTTTTTAAATATTGCTGAATTCAGTTTATTAATGTTTTGTTGAGGATTTTTGCATAAGTGTTCATAAGGGGTTGTCTAATATTCTTTTTTTGTACTGGCTTTCTTTAACTGCTTTTGGTATTGAGATAGTTCTGACTTCCTAAAATTAATTGAGAAGTACTTTTTTTTATCACTCTTATGAAATAGATTATGTATAATTGGTGTTAATCCATTAAACACTGGTAGAATTCTCTAGTGAAACTACCTGAACTTGGAGATTGCTTTTTTGGCATTTAAATTACAGATTCAATTTACTTTTTCTTTCCTTTTTAAATTTTTTTTTTAAGGTTTTTGCCATTAGGTGTATGTACTCATTGGAGAGAGACAGGGAGAGAAAATTTGAGAAATCACCCCCAGGGGATGACCATGCCATAACCCCTTCTCCTCTTAGGATCTTGGGTATGCATGTACACACATGAGCCCAGTATGATTTCCAGGCTGTAGGTCTGGGACTCAAACCACCATCGGCCATATAGGAATCCAGTGCTTTAACCACCATGCCACTTGCTGGTCCCCAGATTCAGTTTTCTTAATAGCTTTAGGACTAATAACATTATTTGTTTCATATTGGATGAGAAGTGGTAGTTTATACTTTTCAAGGAATTAGCTCATTTCATCTTGGTTGTCAAATTTATGTACATATAGTTTGTTGTATTATCCTTTTAAGTATGTAGTAAAATGTACACTATTTCTGATATTTGTAAGATCCTGAGATCTTTGTGTCTTCTCTTTTCTTTATACTAGTTTTGCTAAAATAAAATTTTTATTAATCTTTTGGGACCAGCAGATGTCATGGTGGTTACACCACTGGATTCCCACATGGCCAATGGTGGTTCAAGTCCCAGACCCAATAGCTTGAAACTCATACCAGGCATGTGTGCATGTGTAGGCCAAAGATCCTGAGAGGAAAATGGAGGAAGGGGGTTTGCGGCATGGCCATCTTCCCCGGGGTGGGGGTGATTTCTCACTTTCCCTCTGACTGACACTGTCTCTATCTGGCAAGAGCATGTGCTGTAAGGCAAAAACCTCTACAAAATGAAACAAACAAAAAAAACTTTTATTGATCTTTTTTAAAAAAAAAAAAACCAGCTTTTGGGACCAGCAGTTGGTATAATGGCTATGTCTCTGGATTCCCATATAGTCAACCGTGGTTCAAGTCCCAGACCCAGTGGCTTAAACTCATGCCAGGTGCATGTGCGTGTCTGCCCAAGATCCTGAGAGGAGAATGGAGGAGGGGGGATTGTGGTGTGGCCATCCCACCTTCGGGGGGATTTCTTGCTTTCTGTCTCTGTCTCTGTCTTTCTGGAGAGTGCACACGCCATATAGCAAAAACCTCTCAAAAAATAAGTAAAAACAGCTTTTTGTCTCATCACTTCTGTTTTTCTCTTTCCAGTTTCATTGATTTATGCTCTTTACTATTTTTTTCTTTTTGCTCGCTTTGGGCTTATTTTGCTGTTTTGCTAGTTTCTTGAGGTAGGAGCTTGGGTTATTGATTTGAGATTTGCCATCTTTTCTGAGGAAAGCCTTTAGTCCTGTAAATCTTCTCTTTCAGCACTGTTTTATCTATATCCCACAGATTTTCACTTGTATTTCCACTTTCATTCATTTAAGTATTTTACGTCTCTTAAGACTTCTTTTACCCGTGGGTTGTTCAGAAGTGTGTGTTTTTAATTCCCTATACTTCTGGAGATCTTCCTATTGTCTGTTCTGATTTCTGGTTTGATTCCTTTCTGGCCAGTGAATAATTCTGTATGTTTCCATTATTTTAAGTTTATTGATGTTTGTTTTATGACCCAAAATATGTTTTATCTTGGTGTATGGGCCCGTGGGTGCTTGAAAAGGAAGTATACTGTACTGTTGTTACATGCACAGTTCTATAAATGTTGAGTAGACTCTTGGTTTTACTGTGTTTTTAGAATCCCATTTATCTATAGTGTTTTTGAATGTATCTCTCTGTGTAACTTTTTAAGTGGTTTAAATTAGTGGCTTAGGTTTACATTATATATATGTAATTTGTCACAGTCTATTGGAGTCAGAATTTTATCAGGTTAAGTGAAGTATAAAACTCTTACCTCACTTTATATTCTTTTATACACTCCAATTTATTATAATTATTTTAAATATTTTTGTACCTTTATTGAATGTCACATGGGAAAGCTTTATAATTTTTGTTTCAACAAAATTTAGACATATAACATACAACACTCAAAATGAGAAGGGAAGGCTGTTGCATTTACCAGTTTTTTTTTTTTTTTTTTTTTGTCTTTTTCTGCTTTTTGTTGTAAGGTCTCTGTGCTTTCTAGAGAGAAACAGAGCAAGAGCGAAAGTGAGAGGTCAACCTCCAGAAGATGGCTGTGCCACAGTCCCTTCTTCATTCTTTCACACACAAGCCCTGTGTTGTTTTCAAGCCTCCTGGTATGGGACTTGAACTGTGAAATTTGGTCATGTGGGATCCAGCACCTTAACTTCCATGCCACCTGCTAGCCAGCATTTACCAATATTCTTACTCTTAATTGTGTTTTTCTATTATTTTTTAAAGAATTAGTTATTTAATTTTATTAATTATTCTTTTTAAATATGCTATACAGTGCATGTGCTCACCAGGGAGAGACAGAGAGAGAGAGGGAAAGTGAAAAAGCAAGATCTGGGACTCAAAATGTGGTTGGTCATGTGCCTTAATCACCATGCCACCTGTTGGTCCCTTTCTTCCTTTCTTTCTTTCTTTCATTTTAAAAAAAGTGTTTATTTAATTCCATTTGTTGTTATTATTTTTCATTTTGAGCAGAGAGAGACATAGAGAGAGAGAGAAAGGGAAAGGGAGAAAGCAAACTGCCAGGTCCAGGACTTGAACGATAGTCAGTTATCTGGAAATCCAGTGCCTTTAACCACTAGGCCACCTACTGGCCCTGGCTCCTCTTTATTTTCTAAAAACAAGGATTTATTTTTGTTGTTAAATTATTTCTTTACTGTCTAGAGAGCTTCCTTTAGGTATTTTTTTGCATAGATTTGCTGTCAACAAATTTCCCTCACTAGATATTGTCTTGGTTACCCTCTCATTCTTGAAGGATATTTTCATTTGATATATAATTCTGGGTTGACAGTTCTTTTCTTTCAACACAAAAAGTGATGTACCACTTTCTTCAGGCTTCCATGGTTTCTGATGAAAAATTTATTGTCATTCAAATAACTTTTCCCCTATACATAATGCATCCTTTCTCTCTGGATGTTTCATTTTATTTTCCTTCCATTTTCAGGAGGAGAACTGTCTTTGAAGTATCTTGGTTTAGATTTTTTTCTTTTAAATTCATGATAAAGAGTATGTGTACATACATGCACACTAATCATGTCACAATCCCATTAGGCAGCCCTCTAGCTACTCAGGATCTTGAGCACATATGCATGCAGCTGATGTGTTTTCAGACTGACACAGGGATCCAAACTCACAGTTGGCCATGTGGTTTCCAGCACTGCAGTTCAGTTTGTTACCAACCGTGATGTCAGGCTGGGTCTTAGTCTAGATTTTGTTAGATTTATCCTATTTGAGATTCGCTCAGCTTCTTGAATCTGTAGGTTTATGGTTTTTTCAGATTTCAGAAAATTTCCAGCCATTATTTCTTTTTTTTGGAGAGGTTTTCGTTATAGGGCGCGTGTGCTCGCCAGACAGAGAGAGAGAGAGAGACAGAGAGATAGAAAGCGAGAAATCACCCCCAGGGGAGATGACCACGCCGCAATCCCTTCTCCTCCATTCTCCTCTTGGGATCTTGGGCACGCATGCACACACGCCCGGCGTGAGTTTAAGCCACCGGGTCCGGGACTCGAACCGCGGTCGACTACGTGGGAATCTAGCGACAAAGCCATTACACTAACTGCTGGTCCCAGTCATTATTTTTTCAAATGTTTTTTCAGTCCTATCTTCTTTTTAGTCACCTTTGGGAAACTGCAATGACATTAATTACTAGATTTTTTCATATAGTTCCACAGGTCCCAGAGGCTGTTTTTGTTCTATTTTGCTTTGATTGTTTTTAAAAGCTATTTGCTCTGTGTTGTTCAGGTTGGTACTCTGTATTGTTCTAACTTCAAGTTCATTAATTCTTTGCTCTCTCCCCTCTAGGATGTTGAACCTGTCTATCCATTGAGGTTTGTGTATTTTTTTCTTTCATTCTCTTTTTTTTTTTTTTTTTGAGAGATTTTTGCTACAGGATGTGTGTGCTCTCTGGAGAGAGACAGAAAATAAAAGTGAGAAATCCCCCCCAGGGGGATAGCCATGCTACAGTTCCTTTCCTTCCATTCTCCTCTTGGGATTTTGAGCACACATGCACATGTACCAGTGTGAGTTTCAAGCACCGGGTTCAGGACTCAAACTTGCATTCAACCATGTGGAAATACAGTTTTTCAAACACTATGCCACCTGTTAATCCCTGTTCTTTCTTATATATATATATTTTTTTCCATTATCATCATTTTCAGATTTAAACTTTCCATTTGGTTCTTCTTTATATTTTCTGTTACTCTGATGAGACTTTTTTACTTTTTTTGCATTTGTTTCAGCTGTGTCCATATTGCTATGGCCGTCAGCTAACTATTTTTATTTTTATTTATTTTTATTTATTTATTTATTTATTTTTTGAGAGGTTTTCACTATAGGGCGCGTGCGCTCACCAGACAGACAGAGAGAGACATAGAGACAGAAAGTGAGAAATCACCCCAACTGCGGTCGACTACGTGGGAGTCCAGCGACATAGCCATTACGATAACTGCTGGTTCCCACTATTTTTATTTTTCAAATCCTTATTAGATCATTCTGATGTCTGTCATCTCATTGCTAGAGTCTGTTGGTTGTCTTTTGCATTCATGTTAAGATTTTCTTGCTTCTGGGACTGGCAGATGGTGTTATGGTTACATTGCTTGGCTCCCACATAGTTGACCATGATTTGCGTCCTGGACCCAGTGGCTTAAAACTCACACTGGGCACAAGTGCATGCATGCCCAAGATCCTGAGAGAAGAATGAAGGAAAAGGGACTGCGACATGGCCATCTCCCCTGGGAGGTGTTTCTCACTTTCTCTGCCTCTCTTTCCCCCATGAGTGCAGGCATCCTATAGCAAAAATCTCAATTAAAAAAAAAAAAATTAGGGGCTGGTAGGTGGTGTGGTGGTTAAGGTCGCTGGACTCCCACATGGCTGACAGTGGTTTGAGTCCTGGACCTGGGGACTTGCTTTCTTACTTTCTCTCTCTCTCTCTGTCCCTTTCTGGTCAAATTAAAATATATAAATAAAGTTAAATAAAATAATTGTTTAAAAAAGGTTTCTTAAAGATTTTCTTGGTTCTTGGTGTACTGAGTTTTTTTTTTTGCCAGAGTACATGTACTTCTCTTTATTACTATTATGTAATTTGCTATGGGGTACATGTACTCATCAGGGAGAGATAGAAAGAGAGAGAGAAAGTGAGAAAGCAAGTGCCAGGTCCAGGACTAGAACAGCAGTTGGCCACGTGGGAGTCCAGCACCTTAGCCACCGCACCACCTGCTGGCCCCCTGTACTGAGTGATTTTAAATGGAACTTAGGACAGATAGGGTATTAATTGACATGAAATATAGATTATGATTCTTTGGGTTGCATTTAAACATTTATCTTGTTGCTTGCTTCCTTTAACAGTGGTCCAAACAGAAGAAAGTTGGGGTACTCCCTGCTTACTATAAAGCAGGAGTAATATTTCAGATTTCCTGCTTGTCTTCTCTCCCCTCCTTTCTACTGGGCATGATGGCTCTCTACTAGGCTCCACTAATACCACCCTGGCTGGGAGGAAGGGGGCACCTGTTCCCACACTGCATGGGGTGAGGCAGATAGCTTCATTACCACTGAGGTACGGCGATAGTCCAGGCTTTCTAGTAGGCTTCCTCTGACACCACCCAAGTGAGGAAGGGAAAGTAAAGGGCGGGAGGAATTACTGAATTGCCAGATGAGGTGGAAGTCCAAGCTCTCCATGGTCTCCCGTGAGACCTGGTTATGAGACCTGGTCTTGGGAGGTGCCTTCATTACTACCCTGTGGGGATGAGAGTCTTGGTTCCCTCTGTGGTATTCTCTGATACCACCCCACAGGATGCCCTGTGCCCCGCAGCCCTCACAAGGGTGTGTTTTCTGACTTGCTACTTGCTTAACTGCCACTTTCCAGGTTCTTGTGCTAGAGAATAGGCTTTTGTTGAAATATTTTTGGTTGATATTTCCTGGTTACAGGCTTCTCTGTAATCTAGTCTGGGATATGTGAGGTAGAAACAATTCAAGGACAACTCACTACTGTGTTCCTTGTATCCTGGGATCCCTGGCCAGTCTTATGTGTATTTTTTATATAATGCCAGATATTTTAGTTAGAGGAAGGGATAGGAAAAAATATGCCTACTCCAACTTTCCAGAGGCAACAAGCTCTGATAAGTGTGTGTGTGTATATATATTTCAAAGTGTAGATTTTAGTATATTTTTTATTGTTGTTGCTTTTTTAAAAAACTTCACAGTCTTCTGGAGTGAAGAATTCTTTTGGTAGAGAAAGGAACACTTTCTACTAAGTGAACTAGTGTGAGATTCAGCTGGATGAGGAAGGGTCAGATTATGGTGAGAATTCTAGATTTGACCATAAATGTCCTGAAGACCAGACCCCTGTGTAGGGCCCTAGGGTGGTGGTACTTAATGTTCAGGTTGTACTCTAGATCATTTATGTCATATATTCAGAGCTCAAGGTCTAGAAAGAATTTTTTTTTGGTTTTGCAGAGTGTAGCCAAGCTGAGAACCACTATTGTAGGTAATGGTTCTAACATTTAACTTAACTATAAAATCAGTGGGGGTATGTGTCCATTCAGGTCCTCTAGGAAGCACATGTCAGGATGGAATTAGGAGTGCAAAAGATTTACGGGAGGACGTGCCAGTGAAGGGCAAAGAGAGCTTTCACATTGTAGTGCCAGTTTGACACCTATGGAAGGAGAAAGAATTGGGTGGATAGAGCCCCTGCCTATATGTGGCTCTGAGATAACCTCAGCCTGTTTGCTGAAGAGCCCCTGAGGCATGAGGAATCCCATGCTCTAGTAACCTGCCTGGAGGGGGGAGTATGGCCTGAACAGAAGTGGACAGTGCAGTAGATCCTGTCTTGAAGGGAAAGCCAAGCAACAAGCAACACACTTCTGTGTTTGCCTTCTGTTTTGGCTGTTTTTGTTTGTTTGTTTGTTTCTTTTTTTTTTTATTTGTCAGAGGGCATGTACACTCCCCAGAGAGAGACAAGAAGAGAAACCTCCCTTCAATGAGACATGGTAATAGCACCCTCTAATGGGTGGCCATGCAGCAATCCTGTTTCCTCCATTTCTCCATCCAGTCAGGATATTGGGAATGTCTGTACACGTGCCTGGTGTGTTTCTCAAGCCACAGGCCAGGACTCAAACTAAGGTCTGGTGTGTGAGATCTGAGGGTTTTTTTGTTTGTTTGTTTGTTTGTTTGTTTGTTTGTTTTTGAGAGGTTTTTGTTATAAGGTGTGTGTGCTCATCAGAAAGAGAGAGAGAGAGACAGAAAGTAAGAAATCACTCCCCCAGGGGGGATAGACACGCTGCAATCCCTTTTCCTCTTGGGATCTTGGGCACATGCACCTGGCGTGAGTTTAATCCACCGGGTCCAGGACTCATAGCCATTACACCAACTGCTGGTCCCCGAGATCTGACTTTTGATGCATAGTACCTAACTACTACTATGAAGGGCTGGCCCCCATGCTTGTTTTATTTTCTTTTTTTCTGCTTTTTCCCTTCCTTCTTTTCATCTATCCATCCATCTATCCTTTTTTCCTTTTTGGTCAGAGGGTGTGTGCAGTTGCCACAGACAGACCAGAAAAAAGCGCCATCCCCCAATAGGATATGGTCATGCTGCAATCCCTTTTCCTCCATTTACTCATCCCATCAGGATCTTGGGCACATACACACTCATGCCTGACATGTTTTTCAGGCTGCCAGGATCAGGATATAAACTGTGGTTGGCCATGTGGGATCTAGCTCCCAGTGTGTAACACTTAACCACTGTGCTACGGGGCCAACCCCCCACCCCCATGCTTATTTGACAAACCAGATTCCAAGGCCACTTTTCTGAGATTTCTGATTAATTGTGCTGAAGTTTGAGTCCCCAGACTTGTACTTTAAGAAGTGTTCCTAGATGATTCTTATGATCATGTAAGTTTGTGAAGTACCAGAGGCAACTACTGAGATACATTAAGGACAAAGAATGGAATGTTTTTCACATTTCAGACACACTTTTTTTTCTCTTTTGCTATAGGGTGTGTGTACTCACCAGAAAGAAAGGAAAAGTGAAAAATCACCCCCGGGGGGGGATGGCCACATTGCAGTCCCTTCTCTTCCATTCTCTTGGGATTTGGGCTTTTATGCACATGTGCCCAAACACACATTCTCAAGCCACCAGGTCTGGGACTCAAACTGTGTAGTTGGCTATATGGGATCCAGCCACCAGACCTCCTGCTGGCCTCAAGCCATGCTTTCTATAGTGGTTGTTCGTGGATTTTTCAGTTAAGGTAGTTGGAATATAGTATCTACGTGTATAGGAGTCTAGTAACTTTAAGAAGAAATATGAAGAAATTGATTTCAGTTCTTACCAGCCTAAAATGCAAACAGTACACATTCTCTTTAGAGGAGTAGAGGAATACACACATGTACCCAGTGTGTTTTCTAAGCCACAAGGTCCAGGACTTGAACTGCACAGTCAGCCATGTAGGTAACCACCATGCCACCAGCTGTCTCTAAAACTACTAATTTTTAAATGCTTAATTTTCATTGTGTTAAGTATTTTGTATGTATCATTGATTAACAATTCTGTAAGGTAGACATTATTGCCAGAAAACTGAAGCTGAAAGAGATTAAGCAATAACTTTACTAAGAACACAGAGCTAGTATGTGGCAGCTTTACATCAGGCCTCAACTCTACATCAGGCCTCAACTCTAGTACCCATAGTTTTCATCTCTGTGAAAGGGAAAACTAAATATAGGCATTTATTGATACATGAATGTCATGGATTTTGCTGAAAAGGGTTAAAAAATGTTATTTTACTTTTTAAAGAATTTACATTTTATAAAAGGGATGTATGGGGGTTTCAGTGATGGAACTACATTCTTGCAATGTAATATGATTATTCCTTGATAAAGCAGTCATAGCTTATCATATTTTATAAAATTCTTGTTACATGAAAAAATAATTTCATTTTAAACCACAGATTTGAGAGAGAAGATCTGATCACCTGAGTTGTTAGAGGAACCATTTTATCTCCAAAAATGTTGGAGGAAGATATGGAAGTCGCCATTAAGATGGTGGTTGTAGGGAACGGAGCAGTTGGAAAATCAAGTATGATTCAGCGATACTGCAAAGGCATCTTTACAAAAGACTACAAGAAAACCATTGGAGTTGATTTTTTGGAGCGACAAATTCAGTACGTACTTGGCCATTTTATTCCTCTTATTTTGATTTGTGAATTACATCCAAGACTTTCCTAGAAGTAATAGTAACTAATTAACAGTAAAGGCTAAAGTTAAGCAACTATTGGTGGTGGCTCATGTGACAATTGAGGTTGAGGCTGGTTTTCAATTATTCATTACGTTACATATTTTATCCTTTTTTATTTTTCTTTTTTTTTAAAGAAGTATTTTATTTAATCTTATTCATCATCATTTTTTTAAAAAGAATTATTTCATTTAACTTAATTAATTTATTTATTTTAATTTGACCAGAGAGGGACAGAGCAAGAGAGAGAGAGGGAAAGTAAGAAAGAAAACTGGCAGGCCTGGGACTCGAACCACAGTCAGCCACGTGGGAGTCCAGTGCCCCTAACCACCATGCTTCCTGCTAGCCCTAATCATCATCATTTTTAAATTTTATCAGAGAGTGACAGAAAGAAGGAAAGTGAGAAAGCAAGCCACCAGGTCCAGGACTCGAACTACTGTTGACCATGTAGAAATCTAGTGCCTTAACCACCATGCCATCTGCCAGCCCCTGTTTCTTTTTCTTTCATCTCTTCCCTCTGCTCTCTCTTTTTTTAAATTTAATTCGATTAATTAATTTATTTATTTTTATACATTCAATCACATTATTTAACTTACAAAGTGAACATGTCAATATGTGAACATTTCTCCCCAATCTAGTTGATCAAAATATCTTTAACAGATAACCCCGCTACCTCTCTGTCTCGTCAATGCTCTCTCTCCGTATCCTTCTTCCAAATGTCTTTCCCCAGACCCCACTCCTCCACTTACACCACATCTGGCAATCACACCCATCTCTTGTGTTTGTACATCCTTTAGTCAGTCAGTTTCAGTCATAGAGTGCAGACACTTGGTATATATTAAGTGGGGACATACAATGTCCCTCTGCTCTCTTATTTTTGTAATTTTTGTTTTACTTCCCTTGCCCATTTTTTTCTTTTTTCATATTTATTAATGATACCTTAGGTACTTAAAAAAAAAAAAAAAACACAGAATTATTTATTTTCTTCCTTCCTTCCTTCCTTCCTTCCTTCCTTCCTTCCTTTCTTTTTCTTTCTCTTTCCAATTTGACCAGAGACAGAGAGAGAAAGGGAAAGTGAAAAGGCAAGCCATTGTGTCCAGGACTCAAACAATGGTTGGCCATGTGGGAATCCAGCCTTAACCACCACACCACCTGCCAGCTGTACCTTAGGTACTTCTAAAAAGCAAGCTGAGCGATCTTCATCTGCTATTTTATTTAGAAAAAAAAATTACCCATCTCAAGAAAAATGGTTTTATCTCTTAATCTCCTTTTGCTTAGAATGTTGCTTCTCCTTTTGTTTTGTTTTTTTTGTTTGTTTGTTTTTGTTTGTTTGTTTTGGAGAGGTTTTTGCTATAGGGCACGTGTGCTTGCCACGGAGAGAGAGACAGAGAGATAGAAAGTGAGAAATCGCCCCCCAGTGGGGATGGCCACACCGCAGTCCCTTCTCCTCTGTTCTCCTCTTGGGATCTTGGGCATGCACGCACACGGCGTGAGTTTAAGGCACCAGGTCTGGTACATCAACCGGGGTTGACCACGCGGGAGTCCAGCAATATAGCCATTACACTAACTGCTGGTCCCAGAATGTCTCTTCTCTTTTTAAAACTGGGCAAGACTACAAAGAAATTAGGGAATTAATAATTTGTTTTTACTCTAAGGAAATGAGAAAACAAATTCATCTTCATTCACAAAGAAGAAATCCTACTTTAGGAACTAGCTGGATTCTAAAACACATCAGAGTAATACTTTTTGTCATTAGTCTTGAGAACTTTCAAAGTATTATAAATTATAGGGGACAAACTATATTGTAAAAATAAATATTAAGCAAGCCCAACTTATTTCACTAACATGAAAGATAATTGTGTTTGTGTTAAAGATTGTGTAATTTTTATTCTATAGTGCATTACCCTCTCTTTTTCCTTATTACTAATTTTTTAATTGGCAGACAGTGTATGTGCTTGACAGAGAGAGGCAGAGACAGGTGGAGAAAGCACTTCTCAGTGGGGTACAGTCACTCCACAGTCCTCCATTTCTCTGATCTGTTAGGATTTGGGTCATGCTCTCACGCAAACCCAGTGTGGTTTTCAAGCCATCAGAGCCAGGATTCAAACTGTGTGCAACCATATGGAATCCAGGCTCCCTTAACCACTCGAGTATGGGACTGGCCCCATCCCTTTTTCAGATATATTTCCTTTTTTTTTTTTTTTTCTTGGTATCTGCCTCTTGCCAGAGATGGAGAAAGAGAAAGGGCAAACAAATAAAATTAGGTAAAATAAATAAATCTTTGAAAAAAAATTAAAAAAAAATAATAAATCTCCCTCCATGGGAGATGGCCACACCACAGTCTCTTCTCCATTCTCTCAGTATTTTGGGCACACATGCACACACGCCCAGCATATTTCTGAAGCTTCTACATCCAGGATTAGAACCACGCAGTCAGCCATGCAGGATCCAGCTACCTTAACCACGATGCCACCAACCGGCCCCATATTTTCTTAGAACTTATTTTGAGTCTTGATGATATTTGTTTTTTGTACATATTACCTGAAACCAAATTAATATTTAAGTATGCAGTGGATCCTCATTATTCATAGCTTTTTTATTTGCTGATTCACCTAGTTGGCTAACATTTATGTGTAACCCCAGAATTATTAATCATAGTGCATTTGTGGTTATTTATGGACCGGTGGAGAGCAGCAAAATATGTGAGTTGTTGAACTTGTGCTTGCCCAGATTAGGTCATGCAGGGCGTTACTTTCCTTCTTGTTTCAGTTCTCATTATAAACGTGTCCTTCTCATGTCCTGTTCAGTGCCTCATTTTTCACATTTTGTGCTTTTGATTGGTGATTTTTCTATTTAAATGCTAAAGTACTGTCTAGTGTTCCTGAGCAAGAACACTGTGATTTGCTTTATGGAAAAAATTTGTGTGTTAGATAAGCTTTGTTCTGACCTGAGTTATAGTACTATTGGTGTATAGTATGCTGTTGGTCAGGTTCAGTGTTAATGAATTAACCATATATATTAAAAAGATGTCTTAATTTTTTTTAGTTAACTTTATGTATGTATGTACGTACATATGTATGTATGTATCTTAATTGACCAGAAGGGACAGGGTGAGAGCGAGAGAGAAAGAAAGTGAGAAAGCAAGCCGCCAGGTCCAGGACTCAAACTATGGTCAGCCATGTGCAAGTCCAGTGCCCTTAACCACCTTGCCACCTGCCAGCCTCAATAAGATGTCTTTAAATAGAAACATGCTTAAGACAAGGTTATGTGTTGATGAGTTGACAAAAATGTAAATAGGGGTTCTTAGTAATGACCTAAGAGAATCCCCATTAGAATGTTATAGTGGAAATAGAGCAAGCAATGACCCAAGAGAATCCCCTTCCCCAGTATAGCTAGTCTTAGAACCACCACTCTCTGTGACTGTTGCTACGCACAAAATACATGGCAGGTAAATCCAAACCATGTGTAAAGTATAGCTTTGGGCAACTGGTATAATGGTTATTAATAGTTGAAAGTAGTCAGACTTTTCAAAGGGGAACCTACAGTGTAGTTTTAACAACTTTGGATTTGGAAATAAAAATAAACACAAACTTTGTTATCAAAAACCATTTTGCTTTTCATCTGAAATAAGTTCATCTCTTTCAGAGTCAATGATGAGGATGTCAGACTGATGTTATGGGATACTGCTGGCCAAGAGGAATTTGATGCAATAACAAAGGCCTACTATCGAGGTAAAATGTGGGATTTTCTTATTTATTTTTGTTTGCACATGTTCTTTTGGTTAAATAAAGAACTTTGCTTTCTTTCTTTTCAATATAAGTGTTTCTTTTGAAGAATAGTTTTAAAATTTCAAAGTATTTTTTAAAACCCCAGTTTTACTATTTTAAAGATCTTATAGAATAGCAGATAATTGTATTATAGTGTGTCTGCCTTAGAATTTTATGACTCATACAGACATTCTTAGACCAAATCAATGAGAAACTTTTTTTAATTGCCAGAGGGTTCATGTGCTTGTCAGAAGGAGACACACAGAGGGAGGGAGAAGGCAACTCCAGTGGGATATGGTTATGCAACCCCTTCTCCAGCTCTACATCCTGTCAGGATTTTGAGTATGCACACACATGTACCCAGCATGTTTTTCTCTCTCTATTGTTTTAAAAAAAATTATTTCCTTTATTTTATTTATCTTATTTATTTTATTTTATTGTTGTTTTTAATTTGACCAGAGTGAGACACAGAGAGAGAGAGAGAGAAAGCAAGCTGCCAGGTCCGGGAATTGAACTGTGGTCAGCCATGTGGGAGTTCAGTGCCTTTAACTACCACCCCACCTATCAACTCCTATTTTTCTTTTTTAAAAAGTATCTTTTTTTTAGATATTTAATTTTATTATTATTATTTTAAATTTGTTATAGGGCACATGCACTCACCAGAGACAGAGAGAAAAAGGGAAAGTGAGAAGGCAAGCTGCCAGGTGCCATGTGGGATTCCAGTACCTTAACCACCATGCCATCTTCTGGCCCCCCAGAACATTTTTCAAGCCGCTGAGTTCAGGATTCAAACAGCAGTCAGCCGTGTGTTCTAGTTCCCTTAACCACTTCGCTGGCCCCAATGAGAAACTATTAAATGTTTATTCTGACCCTAAAGGAATGACTCTAAGGTCAGAGAGTAGAAACTAACATGAAAACTTAAAGCCCCTACAAATGAGACGGGATTTTGCAGTGATGTGGGAAACTGTGCAGTAAAGCCTTTCTAGTACTATAACAGTTCAAAGGGGTGTGACATGCATGCAAGAGAAAGGAACCACATCCTGCAGTTGTGTTCTCCTAGCTATCTGGCCTTATCTCCAGCTGAATCCTCACACTTTGCCCTTGAGAAATCTCCGGATTATTTCTTTTTTCCATCATGCCTGGAGTACTTTCTTTTCCCACAAGACTTTCTTTTCCCCTTCGACCTTCAGTCTAACAACTAAGAAATCTGTGAAACATAATCAAATTAGGAATTTCATCAGCATCGATGTTGTTAATTAGCAGGTTCTAAATGTACAATTTTATTCTTGAATAAAGGTTTATGTGTGTTTTAATTGGGTCACTACCATCACCTTCCCCACACACTGAAGAAAAAAATAAGCAAAAAACTAAGGCGGAAACACCAGAACAGTAGTAGGCTTACATGTGATTTTCGTTATTTTCTTTTTACACACCTAGCTTTGTACTCTAAATTATCTGCATGAAATGTATGTTCTTTTTGTGAGAAAAAGATAGATTGGGCTTTTCTTTTAAGCTTTTGATGATTGAAGTGGCAGTATTACTTCTAATCAGTATTGGCTATTTTTGGAGAATATAATTGCCATCACATAGCTGTGATTTAAAAAACAAAACTGTGTGAATCTACAATTATCCCAAAATAAGAGGTTTTAATTTCCCACGTTAGCTGAGGTATTTTTAATGCTTTCACCAGTTTCTGCCATAAGACTGTGTCCAAGATTATTACCTTTTAAAAAAAGCTTGGCTTATCTAGTTTGTTGTGTGCTTTTTATTACAGTTTAGTACTTTTTAGGTCTTCACAAATCATCATTTTCTCCTTATGTTGACAAACACCATTCTTTGCTAGAACCTAAAAAGAGAATCCATAATTACTAGTATTTACATGTTAATTTACTGTGGGTGATATTTAAATTACTTTTCACTGGGTTTCATTTGGACTTTAAGGCTTTAAATAGCTTTGGTTTCCCTATAGTTAACATTTAAAACAAATGATTTTATTGTTATTTTGTTTGCTATAGTTCACATGCATTTACCAAAGTGAGGTAAAGAGAGAAGGAAAGTGGGACCAGCAGTTAGCGTAATGGCTATGTCGCTGGACTCCCACATAGTCGACCGCAGTTCGAGTCCCAGACCCGGTGGCTTAAAACTCAACGCCGGGTGTGTGTGCGTGCGTGCCCAAGATCCGGACAGGAGAATGGAGGAGAAGGGATTGCGGCGTGGCCATCCCCCCTGGGGGGTGATTTTTCACTTTCTGTCTCTCTGTCTCTGTCTGGTGAGCACATGTGCCCTATAGCAAAAACCTCTCCAAAAAAAAAGAGAGAGACAGAAGGAAAGTAAGAAAGCAAGCCCCCAGTCCAGAACCTGAACCGTTGTCAGCTGTGTGGGACTCCAGTGCCTCAACTACCACGCCATCTGCCAGCCTCTGTACTTAAAATTTTAATTTAAAGAGGTCTTAAGCTTATAAATAGATGTCTGTTAAAAGCTTTAAAATGACAAAAAGGGTGGGATACTGAAACATGTTTTCAGTTTCAGCTCCTTATTTTCCAAAATTGTAAAAATAAATGTTTATTACAATACAATTTGAATTAAGAAACAGCAATTATACATACATTTCAAAAGTGATATTTTGAACATTCTTTTATTCTTAAAGAATGTTATTTTAAATTTAACTTTATTTATTTATTCACTTATTTTATTTTAATTTGACCAAAGAGAGACAGAGAGAGAGAAAGCAAGCTGCCAGGGCTGGGACTCGAATCATGGTCAGCCATGTGTGGGTCCAGCACTCCTAACCACCATGCCACCTGCTGGCCCCTCAAGCATTCTTTTATGCTTTATTCTGGGGTTCTAATGCCTTTGGTTGCTGACAACAGAAATACATTTTCAAACAGGCTTAAGCTACAAAGAAGATTTATCAATTTGTTTAATAAAAAGTCTCTAAGTAGCATAGCTTTAGGTTGTGATTTGTTCAGACTGTGACCTCACTGATTCTCCTGGCCTTGCCTCTCTCTGTATAGGATTTCTCATGCTGATTCTCCTCTTGGCTGCAAGATTGCTGCTATGAGCAATGCAAGCTTCATGCTTGGAGTCCTTGAGGAGATGGTTACTTCCCACTACAGCAGATCAGAAGTCCTCAGCTTTTCTCTGATTAGACCCTTGACTTGATTGCAGTAGTCAGAGGGATGTAATCAACTGGCCTGGCCCTCCCACCAGCACCACCACCACCACCACCACCACCACACACACACACACACACACACACACACACACACACGTCCCTCCTACAATCACACACACACACACACACGTCCCTCCTACAATCACACACACACCCGCTCTCCAACAGGACAGATTCATGCTACCTAAACCACATGGCTAATAAGGAACAGCAGAGAGGGGCACTTAGAACGGGATGCGAGGTAGGCAATCAGATAATATCTCCTACTAGTGTAATTCAAATAAAGATGTAATGAAATAGAAATAGAGTAGGAAGAGAAGGTAAGGACCAGGAAAAATTAGTAAAAAGACAAATTTAGTGATAGAAACACTATGCCCTATAAAGTTATGACTGACTTACTGAAATCTTAGAAATGTATTATTCACGGTGCATAAAAATCAACAAATTAAGCTTTTAAAAAGAAAAAGTGCATTATAATTCATTTAAAAGACCTGTTATAATAAATCCATAGCTCAAAGACGTAATTATGGACTTGGAATTCTGGCTTAATTGTATAGTGAGACATGTTGAAACATGATCTTGTAAATAGGTTATTACAGAGCACAGCTTATATTAGGAAGCCTTTTGGAATCCCAGATGACTCCTCTAAAAACTCCTAAGAAAGTCTACTTCAGGCAGTAAAAACCAGTGTTTGCTTTGTACAGAAAAGATACAAGATAAAATAGATTTTTATTATAGTTTTTATCATTGTGACTTTGGCCTGTAGGGGAGGGAAACTTCCTTCAGCTCATGTCTTTTCTGGTCACTCTCAAGTAATTTTTCTCAGTGCCTCATAGTTAATTCATAGTCATAAACATAATCGAAATAAGGTTATCTGAATTTGAATAGCCAATCCTCCAAAACTCCAGATAAATTTAGAATTAAATCCATTATCCATCAGGGACTTTTAGCAGGCCAGTACCTGTGGTCTAGGAAGAGTATGTTCATTGCTTTTCTCCTCCTCTACTTTTCTTACTGAGCTTGCAAAAGAGGTTTCTTTCTTCTGCATTAGACCTTGGCTGAGAGGGAGCTGGAAGGCAAGAGTACTGTGGCAGGTGCTGCTGTTATCGCTTAGGGCCCTCAGAGTGTCAAATGTTTGAAGATAATTCTTATTTCTTTTCTTTTTAATTTTCTTTATTATTTTTTTCATTTGCCCTAGGGCATATGCATTCATAAGAGAGAAAGGGAAAGTGAGAAGGCAAGGTCCCAGGTCCAGGACTCAAACTGCAGTTGGCCATGTGCAAGTCCAGCGCCTCAACCACCACATCACACCCCTGAAGAAAACTATTTTTCTAGGTAATTGTCCCAGATTACTTCAAGTTTCCCATGCTTGATCCTCCCCCCCTGCCCACCCCCATTTCAGGGCATGTACACTTAATCCTGGCAGTTACTTTTTTCCCTTTGTAATCCATTGGAGTCAAACCTAGGGGAGGAAAACTTTCTCTTCCCTCTTGGGGCAGGGTTGGGGGGGCTGTGAATTAAGCTAAGGAAAGGCAGATTAGTAAGAGGATAAGTTTAATCATATCCATGTGGGCATTCACAGAAAAATGTGACTCGAGAAACTAGTTGGAGTTTGGGACATGCCATCTTACTAGAGGAAGGGGACGGGGGAAGGGCACTTCATAGAATGACTTTTTCGTAAGATAAATTGGCCCTTTGGAGAATAGATGGGACATATGATAGTTTTGTGACAGTGTTAGGTGTGGTACTGGCCATGAGTCAGTCTTCTCTGTCCAGAAGATTTATAACAGTTACTAAGTCCTTTTGAGAGACTTGCTTTAGGCAGATAAGGGGTTTCTGGAACTCAAATGCCTTTTGCTTAAAATAATCTTTATGCCTCTGATCCATGAGTATTCTACCTTCACTCTCCTCCACCTGTCCTCCTGTCTCCAAGTGGCCTACTGAACTTTTTTTTTTTTTTTAAGGTTTTTGCCATAGGGTGTGTACACTCGCTGGAGAGAGACAAAGTGAGTGAAAGTGAGAAATCACCCCCTCAAAGGAGGGTGACCACAGCATAGTCCCTTCTTCTCCTTTCTCTTCCTGGGACTTTGGGCATGCACATGCCTGCACCTGGTGTGATTTTCAAGCCTCTAGATCTGGTACTCAAACCATGATTGGCCATGTGGGAATCCAGTGCCTTAATGACTGTGCCACCTGCTGGCTCCCCTACTGGACATGTTTCAAAATGACCTCATGGTGGTATAAAGCATGAGAAATATCTTTTCCTTCAAGCCTTCTAAATTCATGGTGAAAGCCCCATAGCAAAAGACAGATCAACAATAGAAAAACACACGAATTTATTTAAGTTTTAAGTGACACATAAGGAAATGAGATGCTAAAGAAATAGTTAAACCTAGTGTGTGTGCTTTCTTTTTTTAAGAGAGATTTTTGCTATAGGATGCATGCGCTCACTGGAGAGAGAGAGAGAGGGGTAGAAAGTGAGAAGTCAGAGAGAGAGAAAGTGAGAAAACCCCCCCACACACAGCTTTCCGCAGGAATGGCCACACCACAGTCCATTCTCCTCTCAGGATTTTGGGCATGTACACATGTTCCCAGGGTGAGTTTTAAGCCTCCAGGCTCTGTGACTTGAACCGCAGTGTTAGGTGCATACAACTTGCTCTGGAGATTTGTGTACTGCTGTACCTACAGATGGTGACTACGCGTTTTAGGACTTATTTTTTTCATCTTTTTTTTTTTTTTTTTTTTTTGTTATCTCCTTTCCATCTTGACATTGGAAAAATCCAGTTCTCCTGTATTTTAATAGTCACATACTCTTATTTTTTTTTTAAATTGTGGGCATGTATGCTTGCTGGAAAGAGACAGGTAGAGAGAGGGCAAAAGCACCCCTCAGTGGGACAGAGTGATGCCACAATCCCTTCACCATTTCTCTCATTTTATTCCCTACTAAATTATTTTGGTTGCTATAAACATGCTTTTTCTGGGAACAGCAGTTAGCATAATGGCTATGTCACTGAACTCCCATGTAGCTGACAGCAGTTCGAGTCCCGGACCCGGTGGTTTAAACTCACACCGAGCACGTGTGCGTGCGTGCCCAAAATCCCAAGAGGAGAATGGGGGAGAAGGGACTGTGGCATGGCCATCCCCCCCTGGGGGAGTGATTTCTCGCTTTCTGTCTCTCTGTGTCTTTCTGGTGAGCATATGCACCCTACGGCTAAAACCTCTCAATAATAAAAAATGCTTTTTCTTTTATTCTTTGGTCCTTGATTTTTCTTTTTAAAAATTAATTAATTAATTAATGTATTTTTTTTTAAGAGAGATTTTTGCTATAGGGCATCTGTGTTCACCAGATAGGTAGAAAGCAAGAAATTACCCTACCCCCATAGGGGGATGGCCATGCTACAGTCCCTTCTCCATTCTCCTCTCAGGATTTTGGGCACATATGCACACACTCCTAGTGTATTTTAAACCACTGGGTCTGGAACTTGATCCATGGTCAACTAAGTGGGACTCTGGCAACATAACTATATTTTTCTTAAGAATTATTTTATTTGACTTTATTTATTTATTTTAATTTGACCAGAGAGGAACAGAGTAAGAGAGAGAGGGAAAGTGAGAAAGCAAGCCACCAGGACTGGGACTCAAACTGCATGACCATGTGGGGAGTCCAGCACCCCTAACCACCACACCACCTGCTGGCCCATGGCAATGTAACTGTTATGCCATCTGCTGGTCCCTCTTTTTATTTTTATAATGCTATTTTTGCTATAGGGTGCCTGTGCTCACTGGAGACAGAATGAGAGAAAGTGAGAAATCACCCCACAGTAGGGATGGCCATGCTGCAATCCTTTCTCCTCTATTCTCCTCTCGGGATTCGGGGCATGCATGCACATGCACCCAGCATGTTTCAAGCCATGGGTCCGGGACTCGAACTGTGATCAGACATGTGGGAGTCCAGAACCATAACCACTATACCCCAGTCCTTGATTTTTAAAAATAACATTGAGCTTTTCCTTTTTTTTTTTTAAGAATTTATTTAACTGTATATGTCATTATTTATTATTTTTAATTTGGCCAGAGACAGAGAGACATAAGGAAAGTGAGAATGCAAGCCATCATGTCCAGGACTTGAACCATGGTTGGCCATGCGGGTGTCCAGTGGTTTAACTACCACGCCACCTGCCAGCCCCCATATTGAGCTTTTCTTAATCCTTCTTACTGAAGGTCTTTTTGCTTTTGTTTTTAAATGTTCAAGAACTTATATACCTGAAAATACTCTAGTGTACCCTAAAATGTAAATGACAGCTGACTGGATCTAAAATTCTAGGCTTAAAGTTAACAAATAGAGTTTTATAATAAAGAGTACTTTCTTTGTTAAATTATGATTAAATAATTTTACATGTCATTTATGTAAATGTTATAGTTCAAGTAAATATAAACTTATTTATCAGTTTACTAATTGGCTTGCACAGTATTCCTCTGGAAATGTACAAACTCTTTTTGGCTTGAGAGTCATCCTAGTACGAGGATATCGTGACTCTTGGTAGGAAACTCATTCCAGAGAGATTTGTAAGAAAGGGCTTTGAGTAAGAAAACTTTCTTTGATTCCTGGAAATCAAGACCCCCTGGGATGTTTTTCTCTTGTCACTCATCCACCCACTTTCGTCACTGTCCTGCCCGAATCATCAGCTAATAACTTGTAAGGCTGCTTCTTCTAGGAGGTTTCTGGGTTTTATTTTAATCTTAGGTATTATCAGCCTGTAGCGATAGTCGATGGTTAAAATATTGTCAGTAGATACAGTATGGTAATTAGGTAAATAGTAAAAACCAAATTAAGTTTTACCCCCTCAATCAGATACATCTATAGATTCAAGTATAGGTATATTTACTCTTGGCAATGGTTCGCAAATTATGTTCCTTTGGATCAGTGGTATTCTACCTCTAAAATAATACACATTTTTTAAAAAAAGTAAATAGAATGAGTAAATATTTTTTCTCTCATAGATTTTTCTTAAGTCTCTGCTGAAGGAAATTATGAAGCAAATTACAATATGGACAGGAAGAAATTGGCAACAGAAATTCATGCTTGGTTTACCATTCTCTTTAGCTCTTATAATGGGATTAAATATATCACTGAATATTTGTAGTGTTCCAAAAAGAACATATGTGGCTTTGAAGGTACTTTGACACTTGAAGATGTCTGCGGACCAATGGTCTTGATTAAAAATTGGTTCTTTGAATTAGAAAATAGAGTTTACATGTTAAAAAATAAGCAGTGTTATAAAGAAGACTTCAGCATCTATTTACATAAAAGTTGTTTTGAATAGGTAAAAGTTGCGCCTACTCTGCACAGAATTGTTTTGTTCATGAACATAAATAACATTTTTATTTTGTCACTTTACAGGAGCCCAGGCTTGTGTGCTTGTATTTTCTACCACAGACAGGGAATCTTTTGAAGCAATTTCCAGTTGGAGAGAGAAAGTAGTAGCTGAAGTTGGCGATATACCAACTGTACTAGTACAGAACAAGATTGACCTCTTGGATGAATCTTGTATAAAGAAGTAAGGTGGTTACTTTCGGGAGGAGGGAAAGGGGACTGTAATTCTATACATTTAAAACATTTTATTTATTTGTTTATTTATTTGGCCATAGGGTATGTGTGCTTGCTGGAAAGAGACAGAGACAGATAGAGAGGGAAAGTGTGAAATCACCCTCTGGGGGGATGGCCATGCTGCAATCCCTTCTCCATTCTCTTGAGATTTGGGGCATGCATATACATACAGCACACACCTGGTGTGATTTTAAACTGGTTGGCCATGTGGGAGTCCAGAGCCTTAACCATGCCCCCTATTTATTTAACTTTTTTTTTTGGAGAGGTTTTTGCTATAGGGCGCGTGCGCTCGCCAGACAGACAGAGACAGAGACAGAGAGACAGAAAGCGAGAAATCACCCCCCAGGGGGGATGGCCACGCCACAATCCCTTCTCCTCCATTCTCCTCTCGGCATCTTGGGCACGCACGCACACGCACCTGGCGTGAGTTTAAGCCACCGGGTCCGGGACTCGAACCACGGTCGACTATGTGGGAGTCCAGCGACATAGCCATTATGCTAACTGCTGGTCCCTATTTATTTAACTTTAAAGTATTTTTTAAATTTATTATAGAATGCAAGTACATATGAGAGAGAGAGAGAGAGGGAAAAGTGCATCCTTCATGGGGTTTGATCATGCAACGATCTCCTTCTCTAGTCCTCTAGTCCATCTGATCTTGGGTATTCATGCATGTGCCCAGCATGTTTCAGGCTGACTAGAGGGAATTTTAATGATGGTAGTCATGTGGGATTAGCCAGCCCAAAACATTTTAATATTTGCGCAGAACTACAAAATGTAAGAAAGGCTTTACTTAAATTTTTCTCCGAGCTAGTCTGTGTTATTAGTTTAGCTTATAAACATTATACCGGAGCCAGCAGGTAGCATGATAATTAAGGTATACTGGACTCCCACATGGCTGACTATGGCTCAAGTCCTGGACCTGGTGACTTATTTTCTCACTTTCCCTCTCTCTAATCTGTCTCTCTCTTTCTTTTCAATTTTAAGAATTATTTTTTATTTAACTTTATTTATTTTTAATTTTGACCAGAGAGGAACAGAGAGAGGAAGGAAGGGAAACTGATAAAGCAAGCCGCCAGGTCCATGACTTGAACTGCAGTCACCCATGTGGGAGTCCAGCACCCTTAACTACCATGCCACCTGCTGGCCCCTTAATCTGTCTCTTTCTGGTAAGTATGTATGCCCTATAGCTAATTAAAATAATAATAATGATAAAATTAAATAATTCTTTTTAAAAAAATCACACTGATTCATAAGTAGAAAAAATTAAAGGGGGGGCCAGCAGGTGGCATAGTGGTTAAGGCACCAGACTCCCATATGGCTAACCACAGGTCAAGTCCTGTACTTGGCAGCTGGCTTTCTTACTTTCTCTCTCTCTCTCCCTCTTTCTCTCTCCCTCTCTCTCTCTCTCTCTCTCAGTTGCTCTGTGATCAAATTGAAAAAACTATGATGCTGATTAATAAAATTAAATAATTCTTAAAAAATCAATAGAAGGAATTTTAAAAGCCTTTTTAGAATTCCAGTATAAACTTCTTGTATCACAAATCCAGTTCTTCATGTTAAATCAAATGTAGGGGTTAGCAGGTGGTGTAGTGGTTAAGATGCTGGACTCCCACATGGCTGACCACGGTTCTAGTCCCAGACCTGGCAGCTCAAAATTCACTCCAGGCACATGTGCATGCATGCCCATAATCCTGAGAGGAGAATGGAGGAGAAGGGATTGTGGCATGGCCATTCCCCCTGAGGGGTGATTTTTCACTCTCTCTCTCTCTCTCTCCATTTCTGTTCCTGTGGTAAGTGGAAGCACCCTATAGCAAAAATCTCTCTCTAAAGAAATCAAACTTAGACATAGTAAGAATGTTAAGAAGAGTACTCCTAGATGGTTTAATGTCTAGAATAATTAGCTACCCTATGTGGATGAATTTAGAGTTCTCTTATGTTCAAATTAGTGAACGAAATTTAGCATCCAGATATTTCTGTTGATAAATATTTACTCATTGCATTATTAATATTCTTTCTGGCTTTGGAAATCTTTTGTGTGTGTGTTTTCTTATATAAGAAGTTGACAAATCAACCCAACAGTCAGTGGTAAAAAGAACATTTATCTTGTCATATTTTCTGTGGGGCAGGAATTTGGGAATGATTCAGCTTGGTAGTTTTCTATGAAGTTGCAGTCAAAATGTCAGCTTAGGCCTATAGTCATGGCAAGCCTTGACTGGCACTAGACCACCCACTTCCCTATTAGCTCACTTACTTGGCCAAAGTCCTTAGTTCCTTGCCATGTGGGCTTCTCCTCAGAGTTGCCTTAGTGTTACCACAGCATGGCAGCTGCCTTCCAAAGAGCTGGTGATCTGAGAGAGACCAACACAGAAGCCACATTGTCTCTCACACCTAGTCCTAGAAGTCATATTCTGTCCCTTCTGTTGTACAGTATTAGACACACAGACCCACCTGGGATAGTGTGGAGAAGACTGCATAAGGGTATGAAGATCAGGAAGCAAGAGTGTCACAGGGAGCCTTCTGGAGTGTGGTTGCCTGGGCTCTATTAAAACTAAAACCAGGTGGGACCAGCAGATGGCGTAATGGCTATGTCGCTGGACCCCCATGTAGTCGACCACAGTTTGAGTCCTGGACCCAGTGGCTTAAACTCAGGTGTGCATGCCCAAGATCCTGAGAGGAGAATGGAGGAGAAGGGATTGCGGTGTGGCCATCCCCACCTCCCCGGGGGGAGGTGATTTCTCGCTTTCTGTCTGTCTCTTTCTGGCGAGCGCACACGTCCTATAGCAAAAACCTCTGAAAAAAAAGAAAGAAAAAGAAAAACTAAAACCAGGAATCCTAATAAAGCTGAAATTAGGAGTCCCCTCTTGTAAACACAATCATTAATATTCTGGCTTTGACTTTTGGCAGCAAAGTTGTTTCATGGCCAATGAAAATAAGTTATTCATTGTAAGAATTTCAGAGTAATTAAAATCAATTGTTCTTTTAAAAAAAGAAAAATAATTAAAAATTATATTGGGGGCTGGCAGGTTGCGTGGTAGTTAAGGGCACTGGACTCTGACATGGCTGACCATGGTTCTGGTCCTGGAACCGGACCTGGTGGCCTGCTTTCTCACTTTCCCTCTCTCTTTCTCACTCACTCTCATTCTGTCCCTCTCTGGTAAAATTAAAAAGTAAAGTTAAATAAAATAATTCTTTTAAAAAATGATATTGAATATTTTTAGGGCTATAGAGAGATAAGTGACTTTGTGTAGGAATTTCAAAAAGTTCATAGAAAAATGAAATTAAAATACGAGTTTACTGTGGCTCAAAAAATAGAAATCTAGGGAACCAGCAGTTAGCGTAATGGCTATGTCTCTGGACTCCCACGTAGTCGACCGCGGTTCGTGTCCCGGACTGGGTGGCTTAGAACTCACGCCGGGCGCGTGTGCGTGCGTGCCCAAGATCCCGAGAGGAGAATGGAGAAGGGATTGCGGCGTGACCATCCCCCCTGGGGGGTGATTTCTCGCTTTCTGTCTCTATGTCTCTCTCTGTCTGTCTGGCGAGCGCACGCGCCCTATAGCGAAAATCTCTCAAAAAAAAAAAAATAGAAATCTATGCCTACTTTTTTTATAATATGCATTTTCCATGAACTCACACAGAAAAGTCTTCTGTTTACAGTTACAGTATAATAGCTGGTATTTATCCCCTAACATAAAATTCTTCCTAAGTGCAACCATAGCTTTCAACCAGTTTTATTTAAGTGGGCATCAATATCAAGCTTCTTTAAAGAGAAATATGAACATTTTTTGAAAGGTCTGATACATGTTGTTCCACCCTGCCAATCTGTATTCAATAAATGTAAATCAAAAGTAGCTTAAAAGAAACTATCAGAAAGTACCTTTAAAAGCTTTTTCTTTAATTGATGTGCAGTGAGGAAGCTGAGGCACTGGCAAAAAGGTTAAAGTTGAGATTCTACAGAACATCAGTGAAGGAAGATCTAAATGTGAATGAAGGTAAATTGACTTTAAAAAATATATGTATATGTATATTTATATATTACAAGAAATATGTTTTAGTCTTATTTTTGTTGCATTGTTCAGAAATTATATTTATAATAAGAACAAAATGTTTTTTGTCACCTTCCTTTAAATAAAATTTGAAGGCATTCTGCTTCTTTGAATTAAGAGTCCTTAATTATTTACTAGTATCCTTGAATACTTGTTACAAACCACAGCAAAACTCTGGTGGGGTTTTAGGTTATCATCATCTTCAAATATTTAAGCTATTTGTATATAGTGAGAGTGTGTGTGCATATCCCTGCATGTCTATATTTTTCATGCATACCTCTTTAAAAATCCTGAATTGTTTCAGAATTCCACAGTAGTAGATAGTTCATTACATATATAATAATTAATAATATTTCCAGTTATAAGAAAGTGAGACTAGAGAAAGATGAGTGTTATTTTTCTTATTCCAGAATTGCCACTTATTAGATTGTCATTTATGTGTCTGGATAATTTGTTCTCCTAAAAAAAGTAGACATCTTTTCAAGACTGAGCCAATTTAGTGTTATCGAATATTAGTCACTATTTAAACACTTGAAACAGAAGAGCTAATGACTATAAGTATTATTTCATTTTTTATTAATGAAATACTAGTACACATTTATTAGTATTATTATTGTTCTCAGATATTTCTGAAATAATTTTTAAAAGCTGAATTTTTAACTATATTGTATGCTTCTAATTTTAATTTAAAATTTGTTTAGTGAGAATAAATATTATAATAAATTATGTAAAATCATGGATTTACAAGCATAAATCATTTGACCTGGTTGGGGTTGGGGTGTTTTTTATTCTAGTTTTTAAATATTTGGCTGAAAAATATCTTCAGAAACTCAAACAACAAATAGCTGAGGATCCAAAACTAATGCATTCAAGTAGTAACAAAATTGGTAAGTACCCAGGAAATCAGAGCTCATGTTTACTTGCTAAATAGACTTTCCATTCATTATCATTACATTGACTTTTTGAATATATGCTTTTTTAAAAAAAGAAATGTAGATACAGAAAATATTCAGATCATTGGTTATTAAACTTAGAAGTATCAAGTTTCTTGTTAAAAGGTTTATTGAGTTAAAAAGGTCTTTTGGTTTTTCTTTTTCTTTTTCACTGTTGACTTTCCTAAATTGATTTGATAACATTAAATAGAGATATAAAGACTTTATAAAAGTTTGTTCTTTATATAAAGGGTTTTGTAAAACTTTTTTTCTGATTCTACCCTTGTGTTGTCCTGTACCTTTTTTTCTTTCAAGTTAAATTACAGCAAAACTTTTAGCATTCCATGAAGAACAAGTATATTGTCTTCACTTTTACAAGAACTGACTGACCATGTCTCCCTTTTTTAAAAAAATAATTGTTTAATTTTTTTCATCATTATTATTATTATTCCATGTCTTCCTTTTTGCTTGGTTTCCAGGATGATGATAAGAGTTAAAATTTTGGCTCAAAGGCCAACCATGGTTCGAATTACCTACAGGATGTTGTTTCTTTTGTGATACTTAACATATAATGTCTTATAGCATTACTTAATTGTATACTGTCTTGTCTCATTTTATTAGGTTGTAAACTTCTTGTGGTCAAAGAATTGGTCTTAGTCATCTTTATATGCTTAATAATGTTTCTGGCCCTAGAGTTTGTGTACATGGATACTAATAAATTGCAGATTATATCCGTAAGCAACATACTCAAAACGGAAACTATTGGGTTGTTGGGAAAGTCATTTTTGCATAGAAAACAGAAAAATAAGTTGTGATTTTCCCAATGACCCAATATAACAGTTAAAAGTTTTTATTTACTTCATCTCTTATCGAATCATTTTATTTCTAGACCATCTTTGTTACTGTTGTTGGCTATAGGGCGTGTGTGCTCGCCAGAAAGACAGAGACAGACAGAAAGTGAGAAATCACCCCCCATGGGGGATGGCCATGCTGCAGTCCCTTCTCTCCCATTCTCTTCTCTGGATCTTGGGCACGCATGCACACGTACCCAGCATGAGTTTAAGCCACTGAGTCCGGGACTCGAGCCGCGGTCAACTACATGGGAGTCCAGTGACATTGCCATTATGCCAACTACTGGTCCCACTTTCAGTGTTTTTATATACAGTATTTTTATAAATATGAAATCTTACAAATACTGTTGTTAACTATAAATCAGGTATTCTTGAGGAAGTTATATGATGTTATTAAAACTATTGTATTAACTGATTTCAAGTTTGAAAAATAGATTCTTCGTGAAACAATGGAGAACAATGTGCAGAATCTGCCACACTTTGGGTTAAAAAAGGGAGGTTAAAAAGGGGGATGGTGTATGTGACTGTGTGTATGCATTTTTACATATGTATAAAATAACCCTAGAAGGGTAGGAAAATTGATGAAATGCGTGCCTTTGGGTGGGAAAACTGGCAACAGGGAGATTAAAGTGAAAAGGAAACTTTACCATTACATGTTTTGTACCTTTCTAATTTTGTGCCATTTGTGTTAGCTATTAAAAATAGATGAAGCGCGGGACCAGCAGGTGGCGTGGTGATTGAGGTGCTGGACAGTCCCACATGGCCATCCATGGTTTGAGTCCTGGACCTAGTGGCTTGCTTTCTTAGTTTCCCTCTCTCTCTCTCTCTGGTCAAATTAAACTAAATGAATGAATAAATAAAATTAAATATTTCTTTAAAAAAATAAATGGAGCAAAAACAAAAGCTTTAAATTATAAATACTTAAGTGTCTATGGCTGTATGAATTGATAAGCATAATGTGATACATCCATATAATAGAATATTATTCATCCTTAAAAAGGAAAGAAGTTCTAAAGTATGATACAACATGGGGGATCCTTGAGACGTTATGCTAAGTGAAATAAACCAGGTATTCAAAACCATAGAGACAGACAATGTCAGTGCCAGAGGCTCGGGAGGGGGATGGAGAGTTATTTCCATTTTAAAGATGAAAAGAGCTGTGGAAGTGGATGGTGGGGATAGTTGCACAACATTATTAATGTACTTGATACCACTGAACTGTACATTTAAAATGGTGAAGGTGCTCAATTTTGTTGTATTTTGCTATAATAAAAAAATGATTATAAATGCTTGAAAATAGTACTGATTTTACTAACAAGATGGGTTCCATGACGTAATTCCAAGGTGTATTATTATCATCTCTGTGTTTTCCCTCAATTTATACAGGTGTCTTTAATACATCTGGTGGAAGTCACTTGGGTCAGAATTCAAGCACCCTTAATGGTGGAGATGTCATCAATCTTAGACCCAACAAACAAAGGACCAAGAAAAACAGAAATCCTTTTAGCAGCTGTAGCATACCCTAAGACATTTTGGGGTGAAAAAGTTGAATTACATTGTGCAATTCAGTAAGAAACACATCCAGCTGTCATGGCGTGTTGCAAGTTTTTTTTTTTAGCAGACTTTGCACCTAATAGCTCTCTGAAAATTGAGGGATTTAAATATTGTTCTGCAGTACTTCTGGGAATGTAGTGAGACCTCTGGTGGAAGAATTGCTGCCCTGTGGACTCATCTTTATTTCTGACATTAGACAAAGCTTCTCCTGTTTTTGATGTATTCCTCTTGTATGTTTTATCTTGTTTTGTTTTCTTAGGTCCTCATCTGTGTCATGCCACATCCTCTCATTCAGATTACTGTTGAGAAAGAACATAATAGACTGCCCTGGGATGTGTCATTAAATGGTCAGGATGAATGAATGTGTGCTTTTCATACTATGGAAATAATCGGCATTATCTATTTCAAAGTAATATAAAATGTTTATTTTTATGTCACCAGTTGTCACCACTCCCATTGCTGGCAGTGGGATAGGTGTTGGGGAAAAAATCTCAGTTCCTAACAAAGGATACCTGCTAGTGAGTCATCTTTTCTACTCAAAATACAGTCTCCTTAATTTTTCACACAAAATATATTTTGCAGCAGATAATCTTATGGCCTTTATTAGCATAAAAATTATTATATAGTATGTCATAGTTTTATTCTATATTAATCAAATGTGTGTGGGTCAAAGTGTTTCATTTCTATTAAAAAATGTTTTTGAAGAAATGCTGTAAGAAATGTCAAAAACTGATTTTGCTGAATTTTAAATGCTGGAAAATAAATGAAATGCCTAAATATATTGGTACAGATTTTAGTATTTTGGATCAAGGAAAGACAGGAAGTGTCCTTTTTCTGGAAGATACCAAAAAAAAAAAAAATGCTGAAAGGTAACCCCTAAATCTTGCCAGATTGCATTAGTGTGTATTTTGGCAATGTTACTTGTGCAATATCTGTTTCATGTATCATGTGGAGGTATGCATGTAGATACCTGGTACTGGAGTGAACTGAAGGTATGTGCAGTATTTAATGAAACAAATTCTCAATTCATTCATGACACCATTAACACATGTGTCTGTGCTTTTTTCGTTTTGTTTTCTTTTTCAATGAAAAGTTCCCTACATACATTTTGCAACATGAGCTTCGATTTAAGTGTTTTGTGCCAAAAATAAACCTAATTTTTCAGTGCTTTACTATAAGAATTTATATTGTTTATAATATCTTTTTAAAGCAGTTTTCCTCTCTGACAGGTATATAAAAGAGGAGTATAAACATTTTAAAGTTGGAGCATTTCCCAGGTGAGACTTTTGTAAAGCCTTTTCTGTATGGCCACCTGTAAGCCTGGTGAGCTCAGGCTGTCCCAAGACTAGCCAAGTCTTTGAGAAGGCACACACTGTCTGCAGTCACTCAGGAGGTCCTGGGAAGTGTGGTAGCACATCTAGCACCTTTTGCTGCTGAGAACCCAACTTTGAACGTTTAAGGTTATGCTGACCATTTTTTAAAATGCATAAAAGATGACCTTTAGTTCTAATCCAAATTAAGGATTTTTAAAATGCTCTGCAATGCTAAAGCATCCTTTTGTTTACAGATTTTTATATGGTATTTTAAGATTATCACTTAAAAATTTCTATAATCCTTGGATTGTATAGCACCTTCCTCAAGAGCTCTGTCAGCATCACATACAAAATAAATTGTTTTTAAGGAATGATTTAATATGTAATCATGTGTCAGAGCATCAATTTTGTAACATGGGGTGTAGGTTTACAACTAAGATAGTTGCATAAACTCTGTTAAAACTGATTATCATTCATCAGTGGTTTTGTTTTTAACCAGTACATAATTCCCTTTCAATGATCTGTTTTTTACAAGTTTTTCATAATATGTAAACATAACTTGGAAGATGCCTTTTTTATGTGCCCAAAGTTGACAGCTCACATATAATTTTTCGAAATGAAGCTAACACTACCAAAAAGAGAATGAACAACTTTCCTCGTTTGTACAGTAAAAAGCTATTGGCTTCAGAGTTGACAGTGTAGTGCTTAGAAAGACCTCTCAGTAATGTGTCCTCCATTGTGCCTGTAACTTTTAGGGCCTGAGACCTTTTGTGAAGATCTTAGAATGAGGAGTTGGCTTTAGGAGCTCATGTCTCAACTTAAAAGGGTTGTACATTCTTAATGTAAGATATTGTTAATTGTCAGCATCCTCAAAATCTTTGAAATGGTTTCTGATAACCTGCTGAAATATTCCCCATTAATCATTAGCTTATCTGTTTCTCTGAAAACAGAATGAACTGATGGGGTAAAATCTTGTCCCACACTGCACAGTCATCTAAAGAACAGATAGATTTACTCAATTTTAACTATTAATTACAAATATATGTAATATTGTCACTCTTTAGGTGTAACCTATAAAACATGTAAATCTATCATACAAATAAATTTATTTGCTTGTAATCACAATGGACTCTGAAATACCAATTCCCAAATTCCTGGACAACTGGATGATTTGGCTACAGTAATCTTTATTATGCGGTGGTTCTTTTTTTCTCTTTTGAAATAGCTACAGTAAGATGTTGGGAAATAATCTTTTAAAAATAAAAACTTTGGATTAAAAGGCAAATTGAAGCTCTCCTATATTTTTGTTACTAATAAAAACAGTAATTTTGTAAATTTTAATGGAAAACCACTTATGTGTATTGTACTGAGTTGCAATTATGCCCTCAAACTTAAAGTATACTGCTTGATAAAATTTTATGAGATTAATTCCAGTAAACAAAAAATAAATGCATCTACAATTTTGCCTGGCATGTGTGATGTGTGGAACTACTGTGGAACTAAATAGTAAAAAGTGTATACTGGGGGCCAGTAGATGATGTGGTGGTGAAGGCATTGCACTCCCACATGGGTGATTGATTTGGGTCCTGCACTTGGTGGCTTTCTCTCTCTCTCGTGTATGTGCCCTATAGCAAATGAAAAAGAAGTAATAAATAATTCTCTCTTTAAAAAAAGTGTGGAGACCAGCAGATGGCATAGTGGTTACATGACTGAACTCCCACATAGTCGACTGTGAGTCAAGTCTCTGTGGCTTGGACCTCACACTGGGTGTGTGTGTGCATGCACGCCCAGGATCCTAAGAGGAGAATAAGGAAGAGAGGACTGAGGCATGGCCATCCCTTCTAGGGAGGGTGATTTCTCTTTGCCTCTCAGACGAGTACATGTGCCCTATAGCAAAAAACATGTTTTTCTTTTTAGAATTTTTTTAACTTTATTTATATTAATTTGACCAGAGAGGGACAGAGTGAGAGAGAAAGTGAGAAAGCAAGCTGCCAGGTCCAGGATTTGAACCACGGTTGGCTATGTGGAGTCCAGCTCCCTTAACCACCATCACACCACCTGCCAGCCCCACAAAAATCTCTCTTAAAAAAAAAAAAAAAAAAAGGGAACCAGCAGTTAGCGTAATGGCTATGTTGCTGGACTCCCACGTAGTCGACCGCGGTTCGCGTCCCGTACCCGGTGGCTTAAAACTCACGCCAGGCGCGTGTGCGTGCGTGCCCAAGATCCCAAGAGGAGAATAGAGGAGAAGGGATTGCTGCGTGACCATCCCCCCTGGGAGGTGATTTCTCGCTTTGTGTCTCTCTGTCTCTTTCTGTCTGTCTGGCGAGCGCAAGTGCCCTATAGCGAAAAACCTCTCCAAAAAAAAAAAAAAAAAAAACGTATACTACTACTACTTTAAAAATCAAGACAACCTGGGAACCAGCAGTTAGCGTAATGGCTATGTTGCTGGACTCCCACGTAGTCGACCGCGGTTCGCGTCCCGTACCCGGTGGCTTAAAACTCACGCCAGGCGCGTGTGCGTGCGTGCCCAAGATCCCGAGAGGAGAATGGAGGAGAAGGGATTGTGGCGTGACCATCCCCCCTGGGGGGTGATTTCTCGCTTTCTGTCTCTCTGTCTCTCTCTGTCTGTCTGGCGAGCGCACGCGCCCTACAGTGAAAATCTCTCCAAAAAAAAAAAAAAAAAAAATCAAGACAACTTAAAAATGTTTCATATTTCAGATACTTTGCCAATACTAAACCTATTTTACTGGTAGTGATTATTAATGAACTTAGCACTGTAGCTTAGATAAATTTGCTTTGGAAACTGAGTTTATTTTATACTTTAATTAATGTAAGTCTGCTTTAAAAAAAAATTGCTGTTTTTTGTCTTGATGCTTTGGGCCACAAATAACACATTTACATGTCCTTTCAAGTTCATTTGACAGGTGTTTTCCGTGTGTCAGGCAGTGTGGTCAGCACCTTGTATGCAGTATCTCATTACATTTTGTAACTCAGGAGTATTACTACCTTGATTTTACAGTTGGGGAGGGCAGAGACTTGGGTTAAATGAATGATGTCCCTTGGGGCTCTCTGCTGCAGGCAGGCTTATTTATTTTTTTAATTGCCATAGGATATTTTCCCTTGACAGAAAGTGAGAACCCGCAATGGGGAATGCTCACACTACAATCTTTTTTCCTCCATTTTTCCAGCCTGTCAGGGTAAGGGCACGTGCACAGACATGTCCAGTGTGTTTCTCAAGCCACTGAGGCTTTCAAAGCATGGTGGACAACATGGGATCCTCACCAGTTCTTATAGCAAACCTGAACCCACCAATATGCCTGTGTGTATGTTCTGTGTATTGTGCCAGGGCTTCATTATACATTTGGAGATGTATTTATAATACTCTATGGATCTGAATTCTTGGTCAGTTTATGAGTGTCAGGTTTCCAATCTTTGCTCAAACCGCCCAACTTCACCTGTTGTGATCCCTAGATTGCTGCATGTTAAAGCTGGTCTAGTTACTGAAATCAGCCCTCACTGTGATTTCAATGCCCATTATATGCAAGGGGATCATATTTGCAGCAATATTTAGTGGTTTAAAATACATTATTAAACAACCGTGTGTTCTAGTTTAAGTTGTTTTAATTCATGATCAAAGATAAGAATGTGATCGCATCCCTAAGCAGAAGGTCCAGGAGGATGAGTAGACGAAACACAAAAATAGAATAGCCAAGCTCAAGTTTGCTTGTGTACTGTTGTCTTGTCTTTTCCAAGATTCTCAGTTCTTTTACTTTATGTTTTGTTTTTTTTTTTAGTTCTTTTACTTTATGTTTTGAATAACTGTAAATATCTAGCCTTCAAACACAGCATTATCACATATATTTACTTCACACGTACACACCAACGTTCACCGTCATTTGAAAGGGACAAATACATGGATGCTTCCTTGTTAACAATCATCGCATGGGTGGTGTGGTTAAGGCAGCTGGATCCCACATGGCCAGCTGTGCCATTCAAATCCCAGACCTGGTAGCTTGAAAAACACGCCAAGTGCATGTGTGTGTGTGTGTGTCAAATCCCCAAAGGAGAAGTGGAAAAGGAATTGTGTGGCCATTTTCCATGGGAGTACTTTCTCTCTCTTTCTCCTTACAAGTAATATATGCACCCTCAGACCTTTTAAAAAAGAAAAAAGAACTGAACATAGCTCATTTTCCAAATCCTCATTTGTTGCATGTAGTTGTTGGTCTTTCATGCTTTCCAATTTTGGAATGTTCACGTTGAGTTCTCCATTAGCTGACTGTCTCTGTAGGTAAATTCTAATCACTGAGTCAGGTGCTAGACTGAGCTCCATCAATAGGAAGGACCAGCAAGCACTTAGTGTTAAGAACCTCACTTTCTTGGGTACTCAGGCCTTCTTTTAGATGTTGGTTTTTTTTGTTTGTTTGTTTGTTTGTTTTTGGTCATAGGGAATAAATGCTCACCAGAGACATACAGTGAGAAGGAAAGTAAGAAATTACTCCCCGGGGGCCGGGAGTGGCCATGCCACAATCCCTTCTCCATTCTCCTCAGGAATTTGGGCACACATGCACACACACTTGGCATTTTTCAAGCCACTGAGTCCAGGACTTGAACCACAGAGTTGGCCTTGTGGGATCCAGTACCTTAACCAACATGCTACCGCTACTGTTTTATTAAAAATGAAAGTGAGAATGCCATTCACACTGAATATGTGAATCGGTGTCCCCTGGTGGATACAGTAAGTCCTAGGAGGGCAGTGCTACTGGAAACCATCAGTATAAACTCAACTGTTAGCGCTCCCCTTCCTATCCCTCTGACAACTATAGGATCTCTTCTTTTTAATGCTGGGGGCAAGGGGATCCCTACATTAAAATATCATGAGAGTCAATTTTTTTTTTTTTAAGAGAGATTTTTGCTAAGGCATATGTACTTGCTGGAGAGAGAAAGAGAGAAAATGAAAAATTACCCCCCCCCCAGGGGGTGGCCATGACACCATCTCCCTCCCTCCATTCTCCTCGGAATCTTGGGCATGCACACATACATATGCCTATTTTAAGCTGTTAGGTCTGTCCGGGATTCAAACCATGGTCAACTATTTGGGGGTCCAGTGACACAACCATTATGCCACCTGCTGTTCCATCTTTTTTTATTTTCTTAGAAAAAGATTTTGCCTTAGGGTGCATGTACCCTAAGAGACAGAGACAGTGAGAGGCAAAGTGAGAAATGACCCCCAAGAGGGGGTGGGGGATGGCCACACCGCAATCCCTTCTCCATTCTCCTTTTGGGATCTTGGGTTTGTACATAGGCACACACACTTGGTGTGATTTTTCAAGCCATCAGGTTTGGGACTCAAACTGTGGTCAGCCATTAGGAAATTCAGCAACATAACCATTATGCCATCTGCTGGCCCCAAAGGTCAATTCTATATCTGTCACATGTTTTTTTTAAATAATTGTTTATTGGGACCAGCAGGTGGAATGCTTAAGGCTCTGGACTCTCACATAGCTCACTGTGGTTCAAGTCCTAGACTTGATGGCTTGCTTGCTTGCTTGCTCTCTCTCTGGTGAAATCAAAAAATAATAAATAAAATTAAAATAATAATACTAAAATATTGTCTATTTAATTTTGTTTTTGAAAATTTGACCAGATAGAGAAAGGAAAGTGAAAAAGCAAGCTGCCAGGTCTGGGACTCGAACCACAAAGATGTGGGACTCCAGCATCTTAACCATCATACCACCTGCCAGTCCCTGTAATACTTTTAACTGGGCAAGATTTTCAATCTTTCCCCATTTGGTGAACTCTGACAGCCCTTTTGTCATCTCTGCACATCTTGCTGTGTCACCTGATCACCCATTAGGAAGCCTATACTTAAAGGTGGAGGCAGAAAGCAGGCTTTGGGGAAAAAGCTGGCCAAAGGGCACTGGTGGGAAGCAGTGCTAAGGAATAGCAAGGCTGCCATCTTAAAGGTGTGGATTATATGCTAGGAGTGGTATAGAGTCAGCCTAGGGCAAAACATAATAAACTTAGCTGCTCTTTAACTCTATTATCGACATATAAGATTGAGAGCTTAAGCGAGCATGAGAATGTGACTCTTATAGGGCCAGGGCATGGTGGTTAAGGCATTGTACTCCCACCGTGGCCAACGGCGGTTCAAGTCCCAGACGTGGCGACTTGCTTTCTCTTACCCTCCTCTTGTCTGGTCAGTGAACATGCCCCATAGCAAGTTAAAATAATAATAATGATAATGATAAAATTAAATAATTCTTATTTAAAAAAATGTGACTCATTTGAAAGTAAATTATACTTCTATTCTAAAAATAAATGTTAAGAATCAACACATCGAGGTCCCCACTCTTTAGCTAGAGCTGCTGCAGACCAGGAACTCCCAGCAGTTTGGAGATGGCAAACACAGCTCTTCCAGTCTGTGGTACTAAGTGAATGGCCTCCAGTAAAATTCCACTGCAAAAAATGAGGAAGAAACTATACAAAGAATACAAAAATCAAGGAGTCAGAGCCAGATTTTGTGGTAGAACGAAAGAGAGGCTGGCAGGTAGGCATGGTGGCTAAAGGTACTGGACTCTCACACGGCTGGCCATAGTTTGAGTCCCAGACCTGGTGGCTTGCTTTCCATTTTCCCTCTCTCACTTTCGCTGTCTCTCTCTGATGAAAACTGGACAGTCATAACAACAGTAATAAACTTAAATAATTCTTTAAAAAAAAAAAGGAGTCTTGGAATAAGGGAGGTAGGAAGTGAGTTCCAGAGTGGAAGGGATTCACAGATGCTGGTAATACTTGTGATCCTGGAAAACTTGACTGTCCATTTCTTTTTTTTTTTTAATAATTATTTTATTTATTTAAATTTGATCAGAGAGGGACAGAAGGTGGGGGGAGTAACAAAGCAAGCCACTCGGTCTGGGTTTTGAACCATGGTCAGCCATGTGGGAGTCCAGCACCCTTAACCACCTGCCACCTGCAGGCCCCAAACTGTCCATCTCTTAATTTTCAAAAAGATGGTAAACAAACAAATGCTACAAAAAAATCTTTGACAGTCTGACGACAGCAAATCAGAGTCTCCTGACAAACCAAAAGGCTTTGCCATAAATAGAATTAATGTTTCCATGAAATGGAAAGATTTAAATGAAGTGAGTTGGACTGGCGAAGGCAGCAACCATGAATGTCCTCAGGTTGTAATTGCTTTTCACAGACTAACTTGGCAATTTTGTACAGAAAGTGGAGCTCAATAGTTTTTGCACTGAAATATATTTAAAAAAAAACAATATGGATCTTGATTTTTGTTTTTCAGTGTGAAGACCTACATTTTAATAAAAAGTGAGTGTGTTGCATTCATTTCAAGTATAGGGGGTGTTGAAGTTTCTGAATTTTTAAACTTGATCCATTTATTTACGTATTTAAACTTGACCAGAGAGGGAGAGAAAGAGAGTGAAAAAGTGAGAAAGCAAGCCACCAGGTCTGGGACACAAACCATGGTTGGCCAGGTGGGAGTCCAGCGTCCTTAACCACTATGCCACCTGCTGGCCCTCTGACTAGTTTTTTGTTGTTTCTACAGGGCAAGTGTACTCTCTAGAGACAGAGAGAGTGGGCGAGGAAGAGTGAGAAATCTTCTTCCAGTGGAATGGCCAAATCACAATTCCTTCTGCACTCCTCTTGAGATTTTGGGCATGCATGCACAAGCACCTAGAGTGATTCTCAAGTGCCAGGTCCAGGCCCCAACCATGAAACTGGCCAATGTAGGATATAGCAGCTTAACTGCCATGCCATCTGCTGGCCTGAGGTTTTTATGTATTAATAGCACTAGTTACTTTGCACAAATTAAGTGTTCTATACTTGCTTCATTTATCACAGAAAGAAAAAGGAATTAATATATTAGTTAACCTTAAAACAAAATACAAACTAGGTTGGTTGTATCTAATGTTAGAATGTATATGTATAAACCTTTGACCCAATAAATCCCACTTTTGGGAATTTATATAAAGAAAATTAAACACAAAAGAGGAGCCAGACTGTGCAGTGGTAATACAACTAAATCCACATAGGAAGGTCCCAGGTTCGTGTCCCAGGGCTTCCCTCTATATGCCTGGCCTATGTCCATGACCCGAACTGGCTAGGGGTGACTGTGTCATGAAGATCCTTTTGGGGTTGCTCCCCCACTTTCTCATGGAAGAAGACAAATGAACTTTTAAAAAAGCAAAAGAAAGGAAGAAGCTATATCTACATAATCATGTTACAGTAATAGAGGTAAGTTGGAAACATGTCCAGTAGGAATGGGAAGGTAAGTAAATTATGGTACAGCTACAAAGAGTACAGCTTATTAAGGTGACAATTAGGTAGACTTTATATGAACATTTTTTAGAAGTCTTTATTATTTTTAATTTTACTATTACTGTTTTTAAAATTTGCTATAGGGCATACACAGAGAGAGAGAAAGAGATGTAAAGTGAGAAAGCCAGCCACCAGGTCTTGGAATGAAACCAAGGTAGGAGTCCAGTGCCCAAACACCACACTACCTGCTGGCCCCTATATCAGCATTTTGACTTAAAAGTTTTTATTTCTTTTTTAAGGTTTTGGTCATAGGGCTCTGTGCTCACCAGAGAAAGAGAAAGTAAGAAATCACCCTGGGGGGGATGACCACAATCCTTTCTCCTCCATTCTTCTCTGGGATTTTGGGCAAGCACACGTGCGCACGCACACACACGCGCACACACACACACACAGTGTGATTTTCAAGCTCCCAGGTCCAGGACTCAAACCACGGTCAACTATGTGATATTCCTATGCCTTTACCAGCACATCACCGGCTGGCCTCTTAAAAGAGTTTTTAAAAAGGCATGTTAAAGCATTGAAAATTGAGAGAGATGATGCAGTTGAAAAATGAAGTGGATATCTAATTATTTACAGTGGTAAAACAGGTGATTTTGAGACAGCAGGGTAACATAGTGGTTAAGGTGCTGGATCCTACATGGCTGACTCTGTGGTTTGAGTCCTGGACCCGGTGACTTAAAAACACACATGTATGTGTCCCCCCTCAAAAAAAAAATGTGATTTTTCTCACATCTTATGTCACATTTTCATGTATATCAAAAACATTCATAATAATGAGATGTGTAAATTTTTTTTTTGAGAGGTTTTCGCTATAGGGCACGTGCGCTCGCCAGACAGACAGAGAGACAGAGAGACAGAAAGCAAGAAATCACCCCAGGGGGGATGGCCAGGCCACAATCCCTTCTCCTCCATTCTCCTCTCGGGATCTTGGGCACACACGCACACGCGCCTGGTGTGAGTTTTAAGCCACCGGGTCCGGGACGCGAACCGCAGTTGACTGTGGGAGTCCAGCGACATAGCCATTATGCTAACTGCTGGTTCCAAGATGTGTAAATCTTTAAGTTCAATATAATTTGATATAGATGCCTAAAGAATTGCTTACTGAGGGGACATATGGAAAGGTTCTTGTTCTGTGATCCTTTTCTCTCTCTAAGCACAGAGCTTGGTTAACACTGTGTGTGCTGCTTCAGGTAAAGGATTTCTGGTGAGCCAAATGCTCTGGGGCCCGTTTCCATGCCAGGCAAAGCTCAGGAATGAGCAGCGATCCTTTTGCACCTACTTGAGCATAGCTGAGCATGTTTTCCCTAACATACTATGTTTTTACCCTCAAAAAGGTAAAATATATTGTGCTAGATCAAAGTATAAAAATTCAATCTAAAAACTTGTAATTAAAATATTTCTAGTTTTAATTGTAATTTGCAAAACTGATGACAGTGGGATATATTCTCCATTTGAAACAACTGTCAGTATCAAATAAGTGGTTACGCCTAACATAAAGAACTAGTTATCACTTAAAATAGCGTTTCGTCATTTTTACATCATAATCTGTAAGTGCTCTTAGATTTGAAGATTAATTGAATCTGCCTTCAGCATTTTGTTGCAGAGTTTTGGAACCAGCTCCTTTAGAATGCTCTAATAACTTTATGGCCTTGTCAGAGTTTTCGATATTTCTAAGCAGAGTCTCTAATCTTCTCTTAATTTTCTTCTGATCCTCAAGAGCACAGCCGATTACTATGGATTGAAATTTCTGATCAACTGGCCCAGGTGGCACCTCAGACAAACATGCACTGTAGAGCGACATTAAATGGGTCTTGGCATTTCCCAAATCATCCAGAAACTTATTGACCAACTCATCAATAATCCTTGTGGCATGCTTGAGGGATTCTTGCTGCTGGGGATTTCTAATTGTTTCTACTGAAACTTCGACCGTGAGAGTTCGTCCCATCAAACGGTTTGCGGTCAGATTTAATTCTTCTCTTTCTCCTAAACACAAAAAGTTTTGAAATGTCAATATGAAACATAAGCTTACCAATGTCAAGAATATTAAGGCATTTGTGGCTAAATTTATTTTCTAAATACAGTTTGCTATTACATTTTTTAAAGGTAAAAGCTAAAATGACAGTATATTAAGATTAACTGATGAAGTGTATTAGCTTACAGAGAAGTGTTGTACAAATGCCTTTTCCTGAAAATCCTTACAACATGGGAGGCCACACGACTTCTCAAGTTAGCATATCTGCACCCATCTGGCAAGTTACACATTTGTAACTGAGATGGAGATCATGTCTTAATACAGACAGAGAGCAGTAAGCAGTGAGCATTTGTGCTCAAAAGAGCTTACCGTTCCTGATCACTCTCTGTCACGATGATCAGAAAACATTGCTCCAAATTTTAGTTTCTCTGTACAGATTTAAGCAGGCCAGTGGTCTACGGGTTGGCTATCACCATGAGGCATTGACGGTAGAAAGGCCTCTGCCAACATTTATATGAAAAAATCAGCAATATCAAGCTTGTGTTCTGTAACTTCTTTCCTAAAGTAATACATCGATCCTTACCCGGGGTGACGAAGAGACAGCCTAGATCATGACCTGCTGTGATGAGTAACAGCTCTGGTCTAGAATTAGACTGCATACTTAACCTCATCAACAGCCTCGCTCACTGGCTTGTCCTGTGGGCCACTAAAAGCCAGGGTCAGTGAGAAGTCTCTGGAAGTCCAGTACCAGGAAACCCCAAGTGACCCATTCCTCCAAGAGCATCACAGTCTTCATGTGAAAATGACAGCACATTGTTCCATCAGTGGGTTCTCTGTGTCCCCCAGTTTACCTCCTTTTCTCTACATTTTTCTCCCTTTCTTCCAAGTGACAGCTTAATTCATCTCTTCTTGTCTTTACTTCTCTGCTTCCACTTTTGCTTCTAAAATTTTAAATCTCTCGCAGATCAGTAACTTGTAAAGAACTGCAGTTAGGAGTGTGAACCTGACTGGTTCCTGCTTAGGGCCAGCTCTTCTGGAGTCTGCAGGCCTTTGTCATTTGTCTGTCATTCCTTCAGCCATGGTCTGGGGGGTAGGGAGCATGCTGGAAGAATGGATGACCTCTGGGTAAGTGGCTGCTGAAATAAACTAACAGCTGCAGCTGCTCTCCACAGTTGAAGTAAATGCTGAATGCTAGTGTGTGCATACCAAATGTCAAAACAAAAATGGACCCCCACTTATCATAAACCCCCTAAACAAGTGCAAAAGTCAAGCCCCCTTCTGTGGAAATGGCTCTCACCATCACTGATCTGCCTCATGTCCTGGCTGTTTTGGATACTGTGGATCATTTCCAGGAGGACTTCCTTCTCTTGCTCAACAGCAGTTGCAGCTTCTCTCAAAGCTTCGACCCTGTATGAATTGGGAAAACAGAACTGGGAGAATGTTCTTGCGATTAACTTCTCAATCTGACTCAACTTTAAAGATCACCAGGAACACTTTTCAAAAATTATTACTTTAAAAATATTTTTATTTTTTTATTTTTTGTCTACTTGCCTCATTTCCATTTTTCTCCTTGCTTGTTAGACAATCGTTCTACTAAGTGTTTATTTGTATTTTTTCTCATAAAATCTGTGTTAATGTTTAACTGCATATTTTCTTCACATCTCATTTTTTTCATTCAGCAGCATTTTCCGTAGGATATGTGCAGGGCAGAATTGCTCCAACAGGGTATGTGGACACTGAAACTGACCTAGTGCTATGATTGTTCTCCAGTTTGGCTGTACCAGTCCAATTGCAAAGTACAGGAGTCTCTGTCCCCACATCTCTAACAATACTAGCATTTTCTAACTTCCTATTGTTGCCAGTCAAATAGGCATAAGTGGCATATCATATTGCTTTCATTACTAGTAATTTTGGAAATCCTTGTATCCTTGTTAGCCTGTTCACAGACTTTTATTGTCTTTGTTTTAACAGTAGTTACTTGTCCTCATTAATTTGCATACTCAAGATATTAATTCCTTATTGGTCACAGACACCACAAACATCTCTCATCTGATCATTTAGGAACTTTGGAATGTCCTTTTTAAAAAAAAAGGAAAAGAATTATTTAACTTATTAACTTTCTCCCTTCCTTCCTTTTAATCTTTTAATTTGACCAGAGATGGAGGGAGGAAGAGGGAGGAGGGGGAGAGAGAGAAAGTCACCAGGTCCGGGACTTGAATCATGGTCCACCATTTGAGAGTCCAGCACCCTTAACTACCACACCACTTGCCAGATCCTGGAATGCCCTTAACTGAACAGTTGTGGTAATATTCTGATGTGATCAAATTAATCTTGCTTTATCTTACGGTTTATGCTTCTGTTTATCAAAGGGTCTTCCCCTTCCTGGGTCTTACATTTCCTACTATTTGTTGCTTTGCCTTTCACATACTTGTCTTCAATCCATTTAGAATCTATCCAAGTGCATAATTAGGTAAGGATTTTTTTCCTTGGAATAGTGAACTATTACCTCCATCGTTATTTATCAAACAATCTATCTTTCTGCTAATAATCTGTATATTAAATTTACCTCCAAAGTCTCTATTCCATTCTTTTTCTGACTGCTTTTATTCCATTCTTTCATAGTACTGGCCTTGTAATATGCCTTAGTATTCGGTAGGGCTGCCCCTCAATCTTTAAAGATAATTTAGCTATTTATGGACCTTTATTTCCTTCATAAACTCAAGATTAAGTTTACTGAATTTCTCCAAAAATTGGGGGAAATCTGATATCTTTATAACATTGTAATTCCATTCAAGGGCATGATGTCATTTATTCAAACATTCTTTTTTTTTTTTTTTTTTTAGGTTTTTGCTATAGGGCGCGTGCGCTCGCCAGACAGACACAGACAGACAGACAGACAGAAAGTGAGAAATCACCCCCGAGGGGATGGTCACGTTGCAATCCCTTCTCCTCTCGGGGTCTTAGGCACGCATGCACACGCGCCTGGCCTGAGTTTTAAGCCACCAGGTCTGGGACACAAACCGCGGTCGAATGCATGGGAGTCCAGCAACATATCCATTACGCTAACTGCTGATCCCCAAACATTCTTTTTTTATTAGAGTTTTGAAGTATTCTTCACAGTTTTTTGTGGATTTCTGAATGTTCCAGATACTCTGTGGACGCTGTTGCTATTGTAAATAATTTAAATTACATTTTCTAGTTGTTTAATGCTGTTCTGAGAAATGCTGTTTCTATAAGTTCATCTTGTAACTGGAAATCTTGATTTATCCTTATTCATTTTAATGATCTCTTTTGATTCTACTGGTTCCTCTAGGTTGATGATCACATCACGGGCAAAGTATGATAATTTTTATTGCTTTCCTTCCAATCTATTTATCTTTATAGTATTAACTAAGGTCCTCCAATACTGTATTAAGCAGGATGGTGATGGGAGCATCTTTGTGTTTTCCCAAATTTAAAATGAAAACTTCTGTAGATTTTTGTTATTAAGTCTTGATTAAACTATAGAAACACTATTTTCCTAACCTCCCCTAACTACACACACGTGCATTCACTGTACACACAGAGGAACACACCAAGTCATTCAAAAAGTAGGTTGTAGAATCCTGATAGCAAGAGACAAAAATCTTACTTATATATTTAAAACGCTCTATTTCTAGGACACTTTATTGTTACAGAGATAATAAATAAGTTGTCAACTTTTGCAAAATGAGTATCATAACTGTCTCCAGTATTTGGGGGGGGGGGTTCTAGAAATATAAGACCATGGAAGATGTGATCCTGACTGCTGCCCTGAGTGGGCACAGAAGGAACCACCTCACTAATGTTTTAGCATGTCAATTCCATAAAAAGATCCTCTCTCCTCACCCCAAGTGCACATATGTCTTTTCCCCTTCTGTCACCCACCTGTTATACCCCAAAATAGCACTGAAAGGCTGAAAAATCACAGGGTGGCTTTATTCTTCAAGACATTAAATATATATTGAGTTTTGTGTTTATAAGAGCCAATAAAGGGGTCGGCAGGCAGCATGGTGGCTTAGGGCCTGGGACTCCCATGTGGCTGACTGTAATGTGGTTCAAGTCCTAGACCTTGTGGCTTGCTTCCTCACTTTCTCTCTGTCTATTTCCCTCTCCCCACCCCTCTCTGGTCAGGGGAAATAAAAACAAAAAAATAGGGACCAGCAGTTAGCGTAATGGCTATGTCGCTGGACTCCCATGTAGTCAACTGCGGATCGTGTCCCAGACCCGGTGGCTTAAACTCACACTGGGTGCGTATGCGTGTGTGCCCAAGATCCCCAGAGGAGAATGGA